TAATACAGTGATAGCTATAGCAAGCTGGTTAAATTTTGTTTCTATGGCACAAATTAACTAGAATCCAAAGGAAAAATAACTTTTGGGTTGCCTGAAATTACTATAGAATTAGAAGAAAATACAGACTGGGCTAGCAAAGTGCTTCAATGGATAAAGATGAGTGTTGCCAATACTGATAATCTGAATGCTATCCCTGGAACTCACATAAAGAAGGAGAGAAGCAGTTCCAACTAGTTGTTCTGTGATGTTCAGATATTGAATATTCATGCCCTCACATACAAAGTAAATAAAACCTCCTAGAATCCAGTTGTAGAGAGGAGGAGTGATGGACTAAGGGGGCAAGACTATGCTGGGAACAACCACCAAAACAGCTGACCTGAGCAAGTGGGAACTCATGGATCCCAGTCTAACAGCTAGGGAACCAGGCCACCTGAATGAACATGGGTGTCAGTTGAGGGGCTTGGGCAGTCATAGGGCCTCTGGCCGTGGAACCAGTATTTATCCCTAGTTTACAAATGGGCTTTGGGAGCCCATTCCCTATGGAGGGATACTCTTTCAGCCTAGACACTTTGGGGAGGGCCTGGGTCATGCCCCAAATGATGTGATAGACTTTGATGATCCTCCATAGAGGTCTCACCCTCCCTGAGGAGTGGATGGGAGCAGGATTGGGGGGTTGGTGAGGGAATGGGAGAATGGGAGGGAGAGGGAACTGGAGTTGGTATGTAAAATGAGATTGTTTTTACTTTAAATAAAAATTAATTTAAACAAACAAACACAAAACAAAAGAACCTATGCACACTGAAGAACTTAATCTGTAGGAATTTGAGGATGGGTCAGTGCGAGACCTACTTGACTTGGAGAGTGACATATCTGTCTGTTACTATTTTAAGCCCAATTTATTCTAGCTTCCCGAAGTGACTTTATGAGCCAAGTATTACAATTTGCATTGTATGATTGAGGTAGCTCAGTTTAGGAGACAAGGATTCCAGAAACATGTCCAAGCATGAGCCACCAATAAATGGCAGAGCTAGAACTCAGGGCCATGTCTACAAATCCCGTTCACTTTTCCTTATGTTACCATGCCAAATTATGTTTTGAAACACAAAATCCCAGATTATACTTTTTAAAACTACTTTATATTGAAAAGAATAATGTAATACAACAATTAGTTATGCAGCCTGTAACATCTGAGGGGATTTCTGACGGGGCAACTAAAGGCCAGTCCTAGGTTCAACTCTCTCTAGGATCATATTGTTTCACAGGAAATAGAAGATGAAAAGTCCACAATTGTTCAAATCTATAACAAATTTCTTTGTCATCCATTAAACACACAAATATCAAATATAAGAAAGTAAAATGTATCTATACAATGAAATACTACTTAACAAAAATGAATGAGCAATTGATAAATATAGGTACAGGTTGAGTTGAAAACACATTACGCTAAAAACTTTAAATTCTGTGAATTCATCAGCATGTATTTTAAGGGGCAAAAGTGAAGACTCAGAATTCCTATCAGTTGAGCAGGCTGGAGACGAGAGCAGAAACTGAAAACTGTTAAGGGTGATAGAGTTGATCATGGCTGTGCACTTTTCTAAGCCCCTAGAACTTTGGAAATGAAAAGAATAAACTTTGGTATGTAATCAGAGCTTCCAAATTTGAAAAATTCAATTGAAAAGGAACATGTAAGTCTACAGAGAAGAAGATAAGTGGAGTCCAGTCTGGACTGCAGCAAACCCGTCTGAGCTGTGGTGGAGCTTAGGAGGCAATTTAGGGAAACAAAATGTCAATATTTTAATGCCACAGCGTCTAGGAAGGGAAAGAAGAGAGACTCATTCTTCATATTTAATCACTTACTTAAAAGGCATTTTCAATCTCTCTGAGCATACTTTCCTGCCTTGAGTAGAAACTGATAAAAGAGAATGAATGTTCCTTTTCATAATCAGTGGAAATAATAGCGACACATAAAACAAATGCCCTCCTGGAGAGCTAAGTAACCCCTAGCTGTCTGAAGCCATCCCCATCCTGTATTATTTCTGCTCAAGGATGCCTGCCCGACAGCACCATCAAAGGCAAATCAATCAATATTTCCTGGGGAGACCTGACATGCACTCTCCTTTTTGACAATTTCTCTCTTAGGAAAGAGAACACCAGAGGGACAGGTACTAGACTCAGTGTAGTGAAAGAGACAAACCCCTTTCTTCACACTTCCCACTACATCCAGCATAAAACTTATCCATGGACTCCTGCTGTAACTACTTCACAAAAGGGAGAATGAGGATCAGAGTTGTAACATATCCTGACATCAGCTTCAAGGTAAGACACACTTACACAGCAAGGAAGACTCAGCAACTAAAACTAAAAACTCTGTGATTTTTTTTTTTTTTGCCAAGGAAGTCCCTGACAGTACAACTTTGGCTCTGCCTGTCAGTAAATGGTAAATGCGGATGCTGTTCTTTGTCTATGAGGTCAAGGCATTTCTATTCTTCAGAATGTGATTCTAGGATATGTCATGTAAATAAATTTCTTTCATGCTTATCCTGTTGAAAGGTACCACCAAGAAGGAAAAGTAGCAGATAAAAATGCAAACATAAGATCTAACCTTTAGTTGCATGACTACTGCCTTATTAATGGAAGTCAGTGCTTTTCAGTCAAAAAATAGCCCTGTTTTTCAGAATTAGGAAAAGAAGTCGGCCATTCTAACAGAAACCTGTGAATGTTCCAGGTCCTTCCCTGTGTGATACTCATGGTTCAGAACTGTTTAGTCCCAAAGATTCTGTCCTAATCCAAGTTTCATGTTGAAGTATTAATGGGGCCTGTAAGAAATCAATGTCAACACAAGCAAGTATCTAAGGTTTTTATAAGATTAGGATTTATCCAGCAGACTCCGTGGTGTTGAAGACATTTTAAAGTTTACTTTAGCCAGGCAGTTGTGGCACTCACCTTTAATCCCAGTACTTGGGAGGCAGAGAAAGGAGGATCTCTGAGTTCCAGGCCAGCTTGACCTACAAAGAGAGTTCCAGGAAAGTCAAGGCAACACAGAGAAACACTGTCTCGAAAAACAAAAAACAAAGCAAAACCAAAAAAAAGGTTTATTTTATTTGATGTAAATAGATCTACTCCAGTTCTCTTAGAATTTACACATCCAATGCTTTGTTCACCTTCTCCATTGAGACTATTTGTGCCTTCCCATCTGAACCCCAGCTCCTTTAAAAAGAGTATTGCTGAAATCTACTTTTTAAAAAAATCAGTCTGAAAATGTCTGTCATTGTGTATTGGGTGTTTAGACCACTCATCATTTTATAGTTATTAACATAGTCAAAAGTACATGTGCCATGTTACTGGCTATTCTCTGTGTGTCTCTTGTCTCATTTCTTCTTTGTTTCTGTATTCTTGTTGTTGCTTGTAGCACAATGATTCCAACCCCTTTTATGGCAAAAATTCTTACATTATCATTGCCAATAAAACAACAGTGGATGTTGCATAAGTGGGACTGTGTTTGCTAGACTCTAAGTAAGATTTTCTTTTGTCTTCTACTATTTGCTTTTTTATGGAGATGTCTAGAATAGCATGCATATATGTGTGGTGATTGACACACAGAGAAAATGAAGGTGAGGAGGTAATTACATTATTATCATCTCCATATGCAGGGAAGGTGTCTGATTATTATATATCCATACTAAAGACAATTTAAATGTAATAGTTAGACTTTTAAAAAAACACTTGAAGCATGAAACTCTGATGCCCCCATGATAGTTGTTTTTAATTGTGTTTTAAATTTTTTCTGCCATAAATGATTCTTCCACATTTCTGGGGAAATACCTAGTCAGTAAATTGCCCATGACAAGCTGAATTTGGATCCCCAGCATGAACACATATTCTGGTAATGGTGGCCTTGGGCTACTTAGCCAAGATCTGGGAAGCTGAGACAAGAAGATTCTTAGAGCTCCCTGGCCAGCTGGTCTTGACAAATTGGTGATGTTGACATCTGGTCTCTCACACATATATGTGTGTGTGCATGTACATACCTATACCCACACATATAGGCACACAGGAATACACTTATACTATACTACACACAACACACACACACACACACACACACACGAGAGAGAGAGAGAGAAAGAGAGAAAGAAAGAGAGAGACAAAGACAGAGACAGAGAAAGAATAAAATTAAAAGTTGAAGAATATGCTTATTCTTAAACAATTCAAATATATCTATAAAAATCATTTCCAAACTTCCTCTCTCCAGAGGGTTCATGCTCCTAATGAAGAGGAAGGGATGCTAAAAACTCTTGACAGGTCATGTGAGTTTCCCAATCTATCCTGTAATTTCCCAAAGGACAAGGTTTTAGAGAGCTTCTAAACAGCTAGATAAATGGAGGCTCATGTAGGAGCATATAAATACTTCTGCATGTCATATGAACATCTTGAATTCAAGGAGGGGGCTGTGGGAATCATGACTTAAAGCTGGTTGATTGGAAGCTGAGGTTGCAAACTTTCATGCTGTGACTAGCATCTAATGCAGGAACAGTCTTGGGGAATTGACCTGACAGGTATACCATGGAGGTTCTAGATTGAATTGGAAGATGCCCAGCTGGTTGGTATCTGTCCCAGAATGGCTCTCTTGCTGATGAAGACAAATCTCCACCTTTCAAGGTCACAGAAACGATCTGTGTTTTGATTGTGTGGGAAAAGCTGAGATTCATTTTACTTCCTCAGTGGTCTAACCTATTATACATCAAAAGACTTATTATTAAATCATCTCATTAGGAGGAGGTAGGCAGTCATAGATTCTGTGGCTTTTGTCTCAAGTTTGCAAGACAATCACATTGCATCTTGTACAGGAAACACCACAGACATGCTTAATTTGCTCTTTGCTTCTTCCTTGTAGAATATCAAGGCTGAAGGAGAGCTTTACAAAAAAGAAGCTGGTATTTTGGAAGAAGTCCCATTCATTTTGGAGAAAATGTGTATTTAAAATCACAGTAATCACATTCTTCTTTGAGTCATTTTTTATTTAAGACATAAAACCGGATGCTTATTTACCTTGACGTAAATTACAAAGCTGAAGCACAAGATAAGATAGAACTATACAAAAATATCAAACCTTTGACCTCAGAACAGTGCACAGGATATGCCATACACAGAGCATTCAAAATGCTCTTTCACACACTCAGCTAATTCTAATTATTGACTGTCACTTCGCAGCAAATTCCATGAATTTCTATGCAAAAGCTTCTTTGTTCTTGAATGTCAACAAAGCGTTTTCACCTGATCATTTTCTAATGCATCTATGCACATACCCCTAAGTTGTCCCTTTGATGAGTTAGGCTTGAGGTAAGTTAGGAAAATGAGCAATTTCATAATTTAAACAAGGCAATGCAGACATGTGTGCGGGGAGAATGATGGATGCTCCTTGGCAATAGTAGTTCCTAAATGTAATATTCTTCTTTTGAATAAGATGGATACATAGTGTACATGTATTAACAATCTTACAACTTCACAGTATAACACACAGTACAGCATCCCTTCAGGCCAGTGTTTCCTAATCGATGCAGCCAGGACCTACTGCTTCCTGGGTGAGGGCAGCAGATGACTCAAACTAACCACCAGGATCTTCTGTATGGAATGGCTCCAGAAGGAAGAATCTACACAAGCTGTCATTTCAGACAATAGTCTTCGCATGTCTCTGAGATGTCAACACCAGAAACTAGCCCAGGGTTAATCTATAAGTAAGAGTATACTTTCACTCTTATAGTGACAAGTACATTTGTGAGTTCTGTGGGGTGGGGCACATGGAGTCTCAGAAAATTTTGGCCATTTTCATGGATTAGGTGGTATAAATCAAACATGGGTAGTTTTATGTTTTCATCTGTCCCCATTTCTTTTGTATTTATCAAAGTATAAGTTGCCATGTGACATCGGATCTACATGTGGTGGCTTTCTTCACTATGACTAGTCTATGGAGGAAAGAAAAAAATCAATATTCACTTTCCTTTTCTTCCTCCATCTCTCTCCTGCTCTTAGAATTCAGGTGTGGGAACAAACAATACTAATAGGGACTAATCATGAACACAGTGGGCTTTCATTCTAAGTAATTTGGAAGATTTCTTTTAAGACTTTTGTCCCCAGGTTATATGCCTAAATCAAATGAATGACAGTCAGATATTCAGCCTCAAACTGTTACTTGAGGGCCTCTAAACTCCATGCTCCTTTCTCTGAGTATGTACATTGAAACACAATAATGCCAAACACAGTCACAGCACTGAGTGTCATTGGCCCCTGCTTTACAGTCACGATTCCTACAGGTTCTATTTCCATAGGTTAGGAGCTGTATGCTCCCGTGGAGCAGATGTTTTAGGAACCACGGGACTGGGACTTGCCTGGCTCCTCATGCTACTCTGTTTTCTCCTCATGGTTGATGGCTAAATCTCTTAATTTCTAACTTTGAGGTAAAATTTTAACGTGAGTTTAAAAGACACCAATTAGTTCACAAGATTACAATGATATAGTTTAACACTGGTGCTTTTTTTAGTTCTTTAAAAATTTTATGTATATTTTGAGTAGAGGACAAAGTACTTTCATTTGAAAAATGGTGGCATGATCAGACCTGTTCCTGTTATGTGGTGTTAGAGTTCAAACCCAGGGCCTTGAATAAGCTCTCTGTGCATTCAACCACTGAGCTATACCCAGCCTTGCATGTGACCTTTGGAAATGTGCTTTGACTTTCTGTTCAGTACGGATTGAATGTGCTCTGGTTGTTTCTGGATTGTGGGTAGCTAGAGCTTGGGTGCCACCATCCAGTTGGAAGCAAGAGCCCAAACTATTCATTTTTAAGTTGTATCTGCATTTAGAGTCCTTTATGTGCAATTAATTTGTATATTGCAATTTTAAAACAGCACCAGCTTGGGGACAAAGCCCTTCTTTCAGTTTTTAGAACTGTCCCTTGGCTGAGGAGAGGGTTCATAAAATACCTAAGGACAATTGCTGAAGGCTTAAATTCCTTTGGTTTCGCCCATAGAGGCATGGAGAACAACAGCCCATATGGTTTTATACCTCTCAAGGAATGATACTGCATCTCTGAAGTACATTATACTGTATGATGCCATGGCAACCTTTTGGAGTGTCATTAAGGAATCTGGGTGGGAAAACATGAATGACTGGTCTATTCACTGAAGTTGGCATTCACAGCAAAAGAAGCACATGTCTTAATAACAGTCTACTAAGGCACTATTCCTGAAAACCATTTGAGGAGAAGAGTGATGGGGAGAAGGATGCTTAAGAAGTTTTGAGAACCAATGCAGAGTGCATAAAATGCTGTTTTGAGCAACCTATTCGTCAGAAGCCACTTTATTTGGATGATAGAGGGCACCTGGCACACAAGGCAGATTCAGGGCCTGGCCCATGAGGCTGACTCGGGGCCTGGGTTCTCTGTAGTTTGCTCAGCATCTTGCAGAACAGGATAGGGGTTCATATGGAATTGATGGTGTGTTCAGTGAAGAAGTTGCTATGGAAAGTACATTCCATGGCAGCCAATGACTGCCATTCAGTGTGTTAGCTGTGGCCCTACTAAGAGTGAAACCAGGGCTTTTCTAGTCTCAACTGTAATACGCTGCTATTCAATCACAAATTTTTATACAAATATTTCTGCTTTCCAATTGAACCTAGACCCCAGTTTACAAAAGGAAAAGTAGATGATGCTCTATGAAAAATATGTGCACATTTATACATATACTTATAGATTAAAATTATCTGGATGCCTAAGCATCAAATTTTATATTGTAAAAATCCCCTTTTTTCCTATATGCTTTTTTTCAAGTATACATATGACACAGAAAATATTTGGGGTCCAAGTAGCCAGTGATCCCAGTGCTCAGAGAAAAATAGTTTGACAAATTGCACCACGGATGTTTACATTGGATCACAAAAGCTAGAAATGTTGCCAAAGACCTTTCCTCATCTCACTTTCAGGCCTGTGAGTTTCGTGAGAAAGTGGAACTGCTTTTGTGTGACTCCTGAGTGGCTGGCTCTTGGTGGAGTGCAGGTTATCCACTGCATTTTCTTGCTTTCAGCTACTTCCTCCTGCAAGATCATATTGCTTTATTCATATTAAACTATGATGACTCTTGGAAATTTAAAACTAAAGGATGGGTCATCTGTAGTGTTCTAAATCCTGGGATTGCTACAACCAGTGTTTTCAGCATAACTTGAAGCTTGATTGAGTGTGTGCTTAGGTGTGTGTATAGACTATGAACACTGATCTGCATCTCTAAACCTCAGTTTTTCTACTATGTAGTATGGAGTTTAGTTCAGCGGTATGCTATAGTATCTCATTCTAGTTGGTAAGCTCTGACACACATTTCTAGGAATTCTGCAAGCTGAATAGGGTTATGTTAGGTGCCTGGAAGTGGATATGGAGAGAACAATGAAGCCTAAGAAATCAAATATTGGGGCAATTTTCCCTCTTGAAGAACAATTTGATGAATAATTTATTTGTGTTCCATTGTGTGAGTACGCAGGAAAGAGAATGCGTGCTCAGGTCGTCAGTTCACAGTGGAAACAACGGTGCTAAAAAATCAAAGGTACAAGATGTGTGGTGACTTATTTTAATCCATAAGTTCATAAATAGTCTTAACTATCCTGCAGTTTTTCTTATTGTCTTAAAATAATGTTATAGAATTCAGTATAGTTCTTAACTATTTATATGTTCTAGAATATATAATTTTGGACATCTGTTATCATTTGTAAAAGCAAAGCCTCTGCATTTATATTTTAGCTTACAAAATAATGAAGAAACTTAAATATTAATGAATGTAAATACTGTGTGAGAAGCAAAGGAAACCAACTTTCATCACCAGTGTTGCTTTTGTGTGCTTATTATTGTTCTGTTGTAAAGTTCTGTCATTTGTTATTCTTCAGTTTTTCTGTGTTTATATGGCATATGTATGTGTGTGCAAACAATTATGCACACACACAGAGACTCGATTATGATACTACAGAAATAAGATGTCCGATTCCTTTTAAATGCTTAATACTAGCCAGGAATAACGTATAATGAAAACCAGTAGGCAAGTGTCTTTGGCACCTTTTTATCCGGCCAAACTGCTCTTCCTCTACTTAAACTTTAAAATGTTCTCATTTCTGCTTCATCCTTTTGGCTTAACAACAGTTTTTAGTTTAAATATGCACACTTACAGCTCAGTGGACAAAGTTCAGTGCCTGGCAGTCCTTGATGTCAAAGATGAATCTAAATTTATTGGTTGAATTTCATTCCCAAGTTAGGAGTTAGGAGTAGGGCTGCTGAGTGGTGTGTGCTGGAGTTGGACACCATGGTAACTGAGCAAGAAACACCTGAGTTATGATGGGGAAATAAGAGACAGAAGAAGGTCTGACTTCTGAAGCCAGTGTGTGTGGGGGGGTAAGAATAGAGAACACATCTTCCTTCTTCTCCTTTCCTGTCCACCTTTCTTCCAGCCAGGGATGACTGTAGCATCCTCAGGTCCATCCCTTAGGCCTTAGGACCTTACATGTAAGGCTGGAAAGCCAAGAGGTAGGCTGAATCTGAGCCCGAAGATAATTCCTCAGAAATAAAATTTCGATATTCAAACCCATAGCACTTAATCGCTCTGTTGATTTGCTGTATTTTGAGGAGAGCAGAGTCCAGCTCTTTGGGGATGTTGACAGGTTCCAGTCTGATGGTGGTCTATCAAGTGGAGAAGTGGCTTTGGGTAGGAAGAATCAGCAAATGTTACAGCAGTAGTTCACACATGAAGATACTTGTACATTCATTCATTGTTATTTTTCTTAGAAATGGAGCAATCTGGGAGCTCAATTACAGCAGAGTCCAAGATCCTTAGGAACTTCGGGAACACAGAAGTGCACACAAATGAGTTCTATCTTTCTGTTGCTTTAAGTTTTCAAGGTACAACTTCTTTAAACCGTATTTCTTGGTTTCTTTTTATACTGATATGCCATGTTCAAAAGCAGTGTGTTCTTGGGAAAATACAAAACTAACTTGGCTAACTTGGGAGACTGCTTTTTCAATAGTAACATGAAACATATTGGGAAAATTTCAAAAATAAACAATCATATCTTGGGATTTTAAATGAACCCTATACCAAAGAGTTGAGAAGTCTCCTACTTTAATGTAACATCAAGAAGCCTTCGCATTAAACAACTACTCAGCAGTGGTGACTGTAGTCTTTTTGGGTAATCTATCTATGCTGTCATGTTTCATTAAACCTTCTGGGCATCACACACTGTGACTTTTCATGACTAATCACTGTTATGCTACACAAACTGCTTTAAGTGCTCTGTTTTTTCTTTGTAAAAGAGTTCCATGTTTTAGAGCTCAATATAAATTAATCACTTTTACTTTTTGTAAAAGTTTAAATGAATAGATTCAGTGCACTTGTTTTTAAATGTCACTCTCACTTGACTGTCTATTATATGTAGAATTTAAGCTCAATTGCACTATTCTCCAATCACATTGGGAAACACTATTCCCAACTACAGAATCCAAGAAGTCATTGAGTGTCAGCTCCGGGATTTAATTCAGTTTTCAGTCTATATTTTATATGGGCTCTGTTAGGCAAAGCTTTTCTCATTAGACTTGGGAGATCTTTTCAACTCCATTCTTTTGTGGTCATTTACAAATGCTGAGTGTCTCTCTGAAGGTGTCATAAAGGGGGAAAACTTAATTTACATTGTGCTGAGAGTAACTGTTCAGTGAACACAAAGCTCTTTTGCGCATCCCTTAAATACTCCACATGGCATTTAAACACATACACAAAAACATGTAAGTACATAGGGATTCTTCTTTAAAACATTTTGTCATTTCACTTACTCAGCAAAAATGAGTAGTTATTAAAAAGTATTTCTCATCTAAACTATATCTTTGGGTACCCTTCTTGTATCAAACTTGATCTGTCACTTTCCAAGTGAGTAATCCCAGCTGAATAATGGATTACACTATAGTTATGTGACCATGTCTTTGGTTATATTTATGAATTTCTTCTCACATGACTGAGGCAAACCTGAGGATAGATCATTGAATAGTTGTTACTGTTCTCTTTTTCTCCTGTAAAATATTTCATTTCTCCATTTTCTTCTTTAGTGGCCTTTTGAAGAATCCAATCTGGTGAGGAAGTACAAATTATAACACAATAAATCATTTTAATTTAAGCAATAGATAATAATCTATTTAGATATAACCTAATTTAGTCAAGTATTACACAATCTGGGCATACAACTCATTCAGGTAACAGATGCATATTTTAGCTAACCAATTAATACCGAGTGTAAATTAGATAACTGCTACTTCGTCTTTGGCTATTTCACTACACTAGTTATGTATATATCCCAGGAAGAATCAGCCCTGTGTGGAACAATCTGGGAAATGTGAGGCAAGTGAATCACTACTTTATCATCACCATTTTTTAAGGGGCAAAACCTTTTCCGTCAAGTAACCAATGGTCACAAATTGAAATTCTTAGAGTTCATAGTGAACTTGGTAAATGGCCATCGGTAAGTGGCCAGGGAAACGTCTGAGCTATCTAGATGATTCCAAGTGGGTCAGAATGTTGCACATACGCTTTCCAGGAGAAGTTTCTTGAAAGACCCCCCCCATGCCATTTACCTATGAAAATAGAGTCACTGATGGTAAGAAAAAGAAATCGTTCAGTGGTTAATTTAAGTCATATTTCAATATGGTTCAATATCATTGAACCATTAGCAAAACTTATCAGCCTTATATGTTTACTTCAAATTATACAGAAAACAAAAACAATTGACACTTGATAAGGAAGTGACCTAACCTTATTTTAAAATTGATTGAATAAATTAAGTCTCATTTAATTAATTTAATCTTTAAATCTAACACTTAGCTTTTTAAAAACAAATGTAGCCTTTAAAATTTGTGTGCTTTTTATTTGAGTAAGTTAATTATTTGCAAATGTAGTGTATTCATATCACGTAGATCTATGACTAGCTATGGATATTCAGGAGCATGCTACTGTGCGGTATGTATGTGGGTGGTGGTGGTCCAATGTGCATGTAGAAGCCAGAAGCCAAACTTGGATACCTTAGGAGCTGTTGCTTTTGCTTTTTGAAACATCCTCTTTCTTTGGTTTATTATGGTGTTAGACTAACCTGAATAGCCAGACAGCCCTGGGGCAGGGTGGGTATTCTATCTCCACTGCCAGTGCTAGGATTATAATCTTATTATAACTATTTGCCAATATGCACAACCTTTTTTTAAGATTTGTATTTATTATTAGCTGAGCTGTCTCCCCAGTCTGGGACTACACACTTAAACACTGACTGAGTACGTGAGGGCTCAGAGGGACAGATGATCAGAAATTAGTACTTCTAAGTTAGGAAGTTTTCGTCAGGGCTACTTTCTGCCAGGATCTAGATACTAGAAGATGAGGAAAGGGTGGTAACAGAACAAATGAATTTGGAAACTGCCATGAGGTTATGCTTTCCCAAATGCCAGTCATTTCCTCTCTAGCAACTTCAGAAGCTCTGGTCTTGGAAACCAGTCAACCTTCCACCTGCGCCCATGTGCCCTGAGGACAGCAAAGCAGGGAGGCTTTCACCAGAGCAGGAAGTGAGTATTTAAGTGCTGCAGCTCCCAGTACTAGCAGGATGAATGAAGAGGCAAAAAAGATGGCAGAATGAAGAGGCAAAAAAGATGGCAGAGCAAAGAGGCTTTTTGTTGTTGTTGTTTGCTTGTTTTGTTGTTGCTTGCTTTTGTTCTTTTGTTTTTTTCTTTTTGTTTGCTTGATTGCTTGTTTTGTTTTTATTTTAATTTTTTTCACTGGGTGGGGGCACTGAAAGGCAAAGAGGAAGATATGGAGGGCCTGGGAGTTGAGTGGAATTGGGATGCATTATGTGAAATTCCCAAAGATTCAGTAAAGAAATTATGTTTAAAAAGAAACTTGGTTCTTCCTGGCTTTTCCTCTAAAGATCAGCCTCTTTTCTAGCCTCCTTTGTTCTAAAATATTTCTAAATGCCCATCTTAGAGACCAAACTTCTGTGATCTCAACTTTTCTACTCAACAAATTCTCTAAGCATTAGTTTTTTGTTTTTTGTTTTTTGTTTTTTGTTTTTTTGGTTTTTTTCGAGACAGGGTTTCTCTGTGGCTTTGGAGGCTGTCCTGGAACTCCCTTGGTAGTCCAGGCTGGTCTCGAACTTACAGAGATCTGCCTGCCTCTGCCTCCCGAGTGCTGGGATTAAAGGCGTGCGCCACCAACGCCCAGCTGCATTAGTTTTTTTTTTTTAAGGGAAACTAGTTATTTAGTCTAGAGATTAAGCGAATATAATTTGCAGTTCCTGCAACTAAACTGTGAAAATCTTAGCCAATGTTGGAAAAACAAAAAGTAAGTTTGTTACCCCTAGACTTTCTCTGGAGTTTTGTTTTTCTGTTTTTGTTTCTATATTATAAATTATCCTCTTCAGAATTAACCTAGTTCAAAACCTGGTGGCAAAAAGTAGTGGTCAATATATAATGTGGTGTAAGTGTTGAATAAATAAATGAATACCAATAAACAAAAGATTAAAAAGTGAGGCATCACTATACCAGTCCTCTTTATCCACAGGCTGGGATGCTTGAAACATGGCTGTACTGAGTGAGTCTCAGACACACTATTTTGTTTTGTTTTCCTATGTGTAATTTTGATGATAAAATTGATATGAATTAATCACAGCAAGAAATTATCAATAATGAACAATAAAATAGAATGATTATAACATTATGCTTTAATAAAAGTTAGGTAAATGTATTTTTTTTAATTTCTCAAAACGTCTCATTATACTGCATTATATTTTGAAGTACAGTTGACTAGATCATGAAACTATTCAAAGACAAACTGTGACTATGGGGGGCCACCATTCCTCTTCAATAAATTACACTGAATGAGGAGCAAAATTGTAGGACTAGTAACTCATCAGTGGTGGGGCTTGGCATCAGTGCGAATCAGGTTAGAAAACCAGAAAACTCATCTTCTAGTTTTCCCGAATTTTTCTTCTGACTGTGACATTCTGCTTTATGTACTACTCTGAAATGAACCAGCGCCTTTTATTCTAGAACCACTGAACCAGGGGCTTTTATTCTAAAACCAAGTATTTTATGTTTCAGCGAATTCATGACCTTTTGTCCCATACGGCACATCAGGGGAATCTATCTAAAAAACACAGAGGTTTTGCAGATAAATTGTTAGTTGAATCCAGCTGTTTACTAGTTGATAATCTTGGGGAGTTACTCAGCTACCAACCTTACCTTTGTCTTAATGCTTATGGGTGCAAAATGCAGTTACAATGCATGGTTACAAAAGTTGTATGAACAACAGAATGAGATTAGTGAATAAGTATTCAAAATCTTATCCAGCACATTAATGGCTGTGTGGCCCTAGAAAACATGCAGAAGTTGTTTGTACATTCATTTCCTCATTTACAGACCGAGGTTCATAATAGCGAGGATGCTTGAAGGAAGACTCGTGATTAACAGAGTTCTTGGAGCACAGTAAGCACCTCCTCAGAGGTAGCTCCCCCCCTCTCCTTGGAATACCAGTTCTGATTGGGAAGCTCTTCACAGAGGTATTTGAATTAACTAAACACAGTCATCTCGACAGCCTGAAATTGGCTAACTGGCCTTTTGTGGGTGGTAAAAGAGGATCTCAGAAACCGTAAGCATATGTCAACACAGCGTTTACTGGAAAATGTTTTTATTTTTACACCCAGGCTTTTTCAGAGCAAGGATGTAAAAACAGGTGGATGAAAATTCCCTTTTGATTGTATGCTTTAAACAAAGGTATGAAGTCAGAGGGAACCCATCCAATTATCGGCCCTGGCTTTCCTCTTCTCTTTCCTAACTGCCCTTTGAGCATTCCAACTAGTCAGCGCTCACACTGGAAGGCCACAGTAGGAGGTATCATCAGGCACAGAATGTATCAGAGGCGCTTCCAAGTGGGAAACTACAGCCTGTGTCAACACAAGCCATAAACCAGGCCTTGGGTGCCACGGTGTGGCAAAGCTAGGTATTGCAGAGAGAATTGATGTCCTGGAAGTTCAGAGGAAGAAAACCACTTGTGTCTTGGGACTTTTCTGGGGAAGGACCATAGATTCTATTTATGCTACTTGTGAATAGTCTCCTTGGGGAAAACTCCCCAAAGAGGAAATTTGCCATCACAGAAGCCAGGAAGGATGGTGACAGCTGTTGTTCAGAAACTTACTATATAAACTATTTGGTTAAACAATTCTGCCATTCATACATTAGAAAAATGAATATGTAGTCACATTTCCATTTTGCATAATTTTATTTAACAAAGCAGTGAGCTAAATAAAGGAACAATGCTAATGTCAGACAGAATTCAAATTCCATATTTAATTGAAAAAATTGAATTTAACTTTTCTATGAAATTTTGTTTTCTGGTAAATTCATCCTAAAAACTATCATCATAGCTTGCTTGAAAATGGTTATGTTCTTAAATTTCTCACCTTAAACCATCTCACTAAATATCTCGATTCACTTGAGAGGAAACAGATCACCACTTGGTCTTCCGTAGGGATTGGATATGTGGGTCTTTGAACTTTATATCCTTTATTATACTAGTACATTACTTGTTCCTTATACAGCCACACAATTATTGAAGAAAGCGTGTTTTATCTCTAAACATCTTATCTCTAAGATGCAGACTAGTGTGGTTAAAACACATGACACTATTCCTTGTATATCATTCATCAACACAGAATTCAATTTTTTTCAATTTTTTTTGAGACAGGCTTTCCTCTGTGTAATAGTCTTGGCTGTCCTGGAACTCCTGTATGGACCAGGCTGGTCTTGAACTCATGGAGATCTGCCTGCTACTGCCTGCTGAGTGCTGGGGTTAAAACCATGACTCATAACAGCCCGGCTGTTTTTCTTACTTTTAAAAGTAACACCTATCCTTACTAAAATTCTAGCTTATTGTTAAATAGTCCCCAATAATCCCCACCTGTAAAAAGTTCTCCCAGAAGTTTTGGATATTTGTACCCCAGTTGGGGCATACCTTTTTCCTTTGCAAAAAATGAGATGTGCAATCCTCAAAGTATGAAATATTGCTTTTAAAGGTTCTTGCTCATCATGTAAATATTTATGTGCTAGTATATTCCAAAGCATTGGTAACCCATAATTTTTTTTTGCCAGTTTTTCTGCTGGAACAGAGAGAGACTGATGGTGGTGCTTACCTTCCAAAGTGCTAATATAAGCAGCATCAAGAGCAGCAGACCAGCGAAGGCACTCAGGAGGATGACCCACAGCGGCACTCTGCCTGGGACTCCGTCTTTGGAGATTAGAATAGCCAGCTGAAAATGATTATTAAACCAGGTTGTTAACACTGATAAACACCCACTAGAACTCCCAGAACACGGAGTTCTTACAGGCTATAGTTTTCTATCAAACAGTGTAATTAATCTCATGACTGTATAAAAAACATTGGGTTTACATTTCAAAATGTCCTTCAATTACTCTAAATGTCCAATAAGATCAAATTTATTGTTGCCCCAAAGAGGAGCCCTTCAAAACAGAATTTTACAACTTACATAGTACGGCTCACTCAGATGGGATATCTAAATTTTCCTAGGACAAGATGGGAGAATCATGCCTTCGTCTAAAACAAGAGTAAAACACTTGTATTTTTAACAAAGACAGCTTGAAACGCCTCACTTTGGAGTGGGGGTAGGATTTTCAAATGGCTAAGTGAAGGAGTTTTAAAACCTTATATACACATACATACATTCATACATACATACATACATACATACACACACACATTTATTAAGGCCACCTGCATTATATACTGTTAGATATTAAAGAGGAAACTCACAAGCATGCCCTTTGTCACTAAAATGAAAGTGGAAACATCCAGTTACTGTCATGGTGAAAAGCAGTAAAGAAAAACATGGCTGATGGCATCATGGTTTTCCTAGATTCTGAGGAGAAAACAGGCCTGAAATCCCATCAGAAGCCAATGAGAAGGAAATCAAAGAGTGTCTGACAGGAGCATCAGATCGGTCCAGCTTCAGTCCCTGGGTACTAACATAGAACGCCACGGGCAACCTTGGTATGAAACGCACGAAGTTTTCAGACACGCAGCCTCGCTTACCTCTCGTTTCCGATTGCTGCTACTTAACGTCAGTGTTGTGTTTTCACTTTGAAGTTCTCCCCTTATAGTAAGATTTAAGCTGGAAAATTGAGTCTGAAAGGCAGGCAGGACTTGTTATTAATGTACTGTGCTAATCAAGATGAGAGATGGTCATGTGTAAGCAGTAAAATTATTACATATGCTGCAGTCACCCATGAAAGATCAGTCAAGATCAGGCCAGCTAAAGAACTAGTATGGACTAGGAGAGAAGTCCTCAGGTCCCATCTCTACCAGAGGAATTGTTGATGGCTGCTGGGGGAGGTAAAGTCACTTCTTTTTTAAAAATATATTTTAAAATAGAAATATAGTTACATCACTCCCCTCTCTCTCCCTCCCCTCCAGTCCCTCCCTTTCAAGTCATTATCTCTATTCTTTAATTACTAGTCTTACATATGAATAGATACAACACAGTCTGTTGAATCCATTTAGTGTGGCTACAAGTGTGGCAGCTGGTGGGTTCGCCATGTCCCAGTGGATGGATGACCCCACACCTACGCATATGGGCAGCCCTAATTAGATTTGGTGGGTTAAAAAAATAAATAAAAAGTTATAGAAGGAAGACATGATGTTGGAGGTGGTTCTGGAAGGAGTTGGAGGGGATATGAGCAAAATACATTGTGTACTTTTGAAAAAAGAAAATAGAAAAAACTTGGATTGTTCTGTGAGATTAATACAGTGGTGCCTGGGGGTACACCTCCTCCTTCCCCCCCACCCCACAACTGTCCCTTAGATCCTTCTTACAGAACTTTCTAATACAAACTTCAAAATATTTTCCAGTTGGATTTTTCTCTAGGAAAACAAACTTCAACCTTCGCTGGCCTCTCATGCCTGTAGGCATGGGATGGCTACATTCTGATAATGAAGACAATGCATAGGCACTTATTAAGGATCCTGCTTGAAATTACCAATATTAAAACGCCATGACTTACCAAAACATCATCTTAATAAGACCTAAAATTCTCAGTTTCATATGACCAACTAAATGATTCCTTAAAGAAAAACAAAAAATACAATAAACTGTGTTCTTAAACAGCCTGAATTGAGATAGATGTGGCCTTGTGAAGGATAAAGAGTCTACTTGCATTGAAATTCCAAAAAATAAATCACTATTGTTTAATGTAGTCAAGTTCTCTACTTTGTTAATGATATCAAAGAATGCCATTCAATTATTTTTTTGAACCTCATGAAGTCCCAAACTATTAACATAAGCATAAACCAGTACCAGAGAAGTAGTTCTCTCTTGTAGTGCGAAGATTGAGGAAGCAAGAGCCCTAGAACAGTGCCTCTGGCAGGGAGATTTGGTAATAACTCTGTTACGGACAGATGGGGACAATGAGCCTCACACAGCTGGTGAGGGAGAGCTGGTCTTAGGTCATGTTCTCAGAGACCCCGGCATCATGGTCTTTCCACAGCAATGCTGTGACTGGCACAAACATACTACTAGTGAACTGACACTTGTTGATTTGATTCCATAACTTCCTAGGGCAATGCAACAACTTACTTTTATGAAAGTTGGTTTCCACAAGATGAGTGAAACGTTCACTTGGCTCACATCGGAAGGAATGAGATGGCACGTGATGGTGGCAAATTTACAGGTGCTGCAATCCTGTTATATTGTCAGAGATACCTATTAGGGTGTTTGCAATCTCATCATGGGTTCCATATTTAAATGCTTCAGCTAGTTTTTATTTCCAAGGTGACACTGGGTGGGCTGCACTTGGAAAGCATAAAGTAAAAATAGAATTTAGTATACCTGGATTGTGCCTCCTTTGAGATCCTCAGACTTTGATATTATCATTTTCTTCCCAGAGTTGATACCAAAAGGGTCCTCAAGGCTCCGAGGTTTGCAGTTCACATTCTGAGGAAGGAAAAGATTTCTCTGTTAGAAAGTGGCGAGGTCAAAGGAAAAAGCGTGGGTGGTGCAATAACATGAAGAGCCTGTGACTGACAGCCAATGGTGTATACTGAAGGTCTGTCTATGAGCGTGCAGGACAGAGTGGCTGTGGAGCGCCACAATGTGTTCCCGTTCTAGGTGACAATCACAGCTTCTGAGACTCTTGCAGTTGCAACAAAGGAGAAGGATACTATTTCATGAGTAAGATGATTATTTATTTATTGTTTTTCAAAGAACAGCTGGTTAATTTCCTATATATATGTTTGTATATATGTATATATATTCCTGTAATATATATTAAACTACACACACACACACACACACGTTCTATCAAGAAAGAAAGTGTTAGCATGTTGCTAACAGGCTCAGTTTGATCCCTGTTTTCTTGTACTAGAGGGAAATTCCAGAGATTTTTTCCTTTGCCATTAGCAAAATATTTAAATGATTACAAGACAAGTACTATAGCTGCTATGTTTTGTTTTGGTTTTTTGATGCTGAGAATGATTTAGTTTTTAAAAACTGCTTGAAAAGAAGGTATAATGTTAAATGTTGACTCCATGCATTCATTAACTTAACAATTATTGTAGCTTTCTGGTTTAGACACTAAAAAGAAAGTAATAATATAATACTAATATTAATAAATTCCACATCATCATAATGATAATAATAGTCAGCACTACACATCTATTCAGTGTCACAACTACAATGGGGCTGCAGTGTTGGGGTTGTCTTGGATATGTGAATAGTAATCTACTATTTTGTGTACAGCTATGTGTGCTTAGAAAAATATTGAGACTTCTTTATTGAACTGACTCCCTCAAATAAAGTGCAACAAAATTCATGTATCCATCAACAATGAATTACCTAAGATCTACTGGATCATCATATCATGATTCAAAAGGGCATGGCTGAGTCCTAACATCCTGAACCAGTAAACATGACCTCATTTGCAACCTCAGTGGTCACAGATGTAATTATAAATTGAGGTTCTTCGGGTAAGAACATCTTGTATTTCAGGAAAGCCCCAAATCCAGTGGTGGGTGTACAGGAAAACACAGAGGCAGAAATAAACACAGAATCACAGGAGGAATGGTGCCAAGGAATGCATAGAGTTACCGGCAAACACTAGATGCTGGACGGAAAGCATAGTCCAGAGGGCATCTACATTATCAGCACCCTGATATTGGACTGCTGGCCCTCATCATTAGTAAATAATTAACTATCATGTTTAATTACTCATTTTCCATTTTCTGCAGTTTGTTTCAGGAACTCTAAATATTGAATTTACACACATTCTAAGTAGTGATGGGAGCAATTAATTATTAAATGCTCCATGCTTTTAACTAACCTTACTTATCACAAGTGTCATACAAAGCATGAGGGCTTACACATCAGCGAGGAAGGTAACAGTGGGTTGGAGAGATGTCTTAGCAGGTGAAAAGTGCTCACTGCTAGCCTCGTGATTTGAGTACTGTCCCACAGCCTCTGGTGAAAAGCACTTGCTGTCAAGCCTGGTGCCCTGATTCATCAAACTGTTGGACCCGTTCTCTGACCTCCTGGGTACACTGTGGCACACATACCCATACACAATAAACAGTAACTGTGATTTTTGAAAAAGAAGATAACAGTAGTGACACAATTGAAAAGCACACATGACTTACATCAGAAGATGACCATCCAGTTGGGTAAAGTATAGGATAACCATCTGATGTCAAGTTGGGGAAAGAGATTGACAGCTGAAGTTCTGGCATTGGGAAATGGCTCCTTTTTCTGATCTACAGGGAACAAATAAGCATATAATCATTTTTGGCTCTTTCCAAAGAATGCTTTCCATGTTACACAGGACTCTTTGTTTTCCTCTTTTCATGTGTATATGCATGTGATATATGTGCATTTGTATATGTGTGTTCGCATGCATGTGGGCACATGCATAAATAAATATACATACATGTTTTTCTGGGTGTATATGTGAAGACCTGAGGTCTTCAGGGAATTTCCTCCATAGCTGTTTGACCTTACAGCTATACATTAGTTAAGTTGCTTATATGGGAAATCCAAGGCATGTAAGGTTGGTTATTACATTGTTCTCTTACAGGTAGGTTAAACAAACAGGCAGAGATAGTACACAGCAGGATAGCAATGTTAGGTGTTAGATGACTTTAAAGAGTATTATTAACTCAGGCTGGGTGGTCCAGTGAAAGCATTAGTGGGAAATCAGTATTGAAAATTATCTTTATTATTATTCTCTAGCTATGTCCACTATCCCCTCCCCCATCTGTGTGTGTGTGTGTGTGTGTGTGTGTGTGTGTGTGTGTGTGTGTGATGCAATCAAATGTGTGGATGTGTTTGTCCTTGTGTATGCGTATGCAGGTCAGGTGTCATCCTCTATTTTTGAGACATGGTCTCTCATTGATTCGGAAGTTCACCATTTAGGCTAGGCAGACTAGCAAGTAAGCTCTCAGTATCCACATGTCTCTGTTCCCCAGTGCTAGGGTAACAGGCACCACAACCATGTCTAGGTTTTTCACTTAAGTGCTGGAGATCTGAAATCAGGGCCTTATGCACAGCAGGTGTTCTTACCCACTGAGGACACCCCAAAGCCTCTAGCCAAGGTTTTTGGAGGTGGAGATGATTTACTTGATCCACACAAGAAAACCTCAGCTTGCTTTTGGTTGCTTCAACCTAGTTAATTGTAATGCCCTAAAGCCATAAGTCATCTCTAACCTCAGCTAGATGGGACCTGCCATCACTGCTCAGGTAAGCCAGATACCCACTGGCTTCCTCTCAAAAGTGTATTGCAACTATGGATACTATCTTACTGTTATTGACATTCTGAGAAGCAGGTTGAGTTCCATCTTAGTTTCTATGTGTTTTGATCCACTAACTCAGAATCCCTGAACTGGGACCACCAGGTGCAATGCTCCCCCTGGACACCACGCGAGCATAATCTCCAGGTCTTACATGTTCTTAATGGTGTCTCTCTGCAATTTATTTAGCTGTGTGTAGGAACTCTTTAATCTGCACCAGCAGATGCCAGGACAGTCTAGCTAATAAAGCAGCCTATATTGAGAGCTGCTCATGTCTGCTATGATTCCCTGTGGATGCTGAATGTTAAGTCATTCATCATCCTTCCAACTGTGGAGATTCCTGAAGCTAGGCCTCATGTGTGAACATGGTCTGCAACCCCATTAGGGTAATATGCCTGGGGTTTGCCTGGCACAGCCTTTTGGTTCAATGTTATCTGTTTCTGACTTTCAGTCAGAAATCATATATTCTGATACTATTACTTTTTTCTTACTAAGAAGCACTCCTTCTAAAAACACTGAAAAATACTGAAAATAATCAGAAAACAAAAGCCTCCTACAATCCAACCACCTTAGTAGCATTTTGCTGTATCAAATTACTTGTCTTTATTATTTGCATGTATTATAGCTCACATACACAAAAGCAAAACTTTGTATTTTATTAAATCATTGTGTTATGTTTCCCCCCAAAATAATAGTTAAATAATAAGCATGGTATTATCTACAACACTTGTTACCTGTGTGGAACTTGCTATGCTAATCATTTGGTCTGCAGAACTGCCCTACCTCTTAATGCTAGGACTTGGATCCTCTTATCTCTGTTTTGTCTGTGAGCAGCAATGTGAAAACAATAAAAAGTTACAAGCAGAGAAAAACTTGTAAGTAGCAAATGTAGCTAAAATACTAGAATGCATTGTTTTCCCATCAAATATATAACATTGTCTTCACTGAATGAATGACAGTTCATTGAAGCTATTTCACAGTGTTAGAGTTATAAGAGTACTGTTGAAATTTTTAATCATTAATAACTTCTTAGGGAAATTACCGGTAGTAAGTTACTAGATCTCACCTAAATATGCTGCTTTATTTTTATCCCATTAATTTAATTCTAGAACTTAATGCAGCAAAAAAACTAGAGATAGACACTGTTATTATCTGTTATATATGTTAATGTTACTTATAACAGGGAGCTCTTATTTCAAACCTGGAGCCTAATAGGTTACAATGTATGAAGATCAACAATGTTCAAGTTTTTCCTTTTATGTCCTCTTGTTTGTTATGCTATAGAAGCATAATAGTCTGAATTACAAAATCATATCCCATAATTGAGCAGGAGTTTGCGTTAATACCAATTTCCAGAATGTAGTTTATCAAAGCAATTCTGGCAGAGAACACAAATTCCTCTCAAGAGTATGCATTTATTTCCATTTTGTGCGAGACCTTCATTCTTCATTGCTAACAATTTCCCAAAAGGTTAAGACAGGCTTCGTTTATAATGGTGGTGTATCACTTGATGGCTTATGTATATAAATCATTCGTTTGAATTGAATGCTCTTTCTCCATGAGTAATACTGAGTCTGTAAGTGTTATCCAGGCTAAAGCTCCATGACAGCCTGCTGTAGAGCTTACATAAAGTTTGCAACAAAGAATTTAAAATGAAAAAAATTAATGTAGTAGAATGTGTCACTTAAGGAGACTATAGTATGGACATTGGTAATTTACAGTATAATTCATATGAAAAAGAACAATAGACAGAAAAGAGGCTATGACACATTGAATAAATGAAACTATTCAACAAAGAATTTTCAAATAATTAATTTCTGAAATTGTCATGATTATATGAAATATAATTTTTCTTAGCCATACTAAGACTAATATAAAGTATAAACACCTTGCATTTGTAGCATCTATTTGACACCGGAGTAACTTTTCTTCTAGGAAGTTATTCTAAGTTAATAGGTCTTATTATAAGGGAATTAGAGACTTTAGCTTTTAAATTTGACTCACACTATAATTACCACTTTGCACTTAATCTTAGTCAAAAGGCCAAGAAGTGATTGGATTATCAATTTGGACAATATAATTTAACATAGTTAAATTACAAAGAAAAATGTGCTAGATGTGGAGATTAAATGTTGAAACACTTTCTTGTTTTCTTAATACAAATAACTTATTTAGAATATTGACTTATAGATAGTTTCTTACCATGTAGAAGACATTGATTTCATTTCCAATGTCACTAGTGGAATTAATGAGTTCAGGGATAGTCTCATTGGCTGCAATTGAGATGTGGTGTTCACTTGCAGAACTTAAAAGAATTAATTGGAAAAATAAAAACAAAATGCAGTAAAGTTTATTAGACTTCATTCTTTTCTTTTCTTATGTCATATGATTCCATAAATGGAGATTATTTTACCCCCAAACCTAAATTAAACATTTGAGATGCTAAGAATCACTTAATTCAATAGGCATTGTTGCTTACTTGACTCCAATATGTTAAATTTCAAAGTAGGATTCTACTGTTAACAAGTCAAGACTTTCCATGAATCTGCTAGCATTTACACTTAAAGAAAAATCAGACTAAAATTTGATATTTTCAGTTGTGCTGAAAGTGAAGGAGCTAGTTTTTTAAATTTATACAACTTAAAAATCCTATTACTGCTAGAAGGAGAGGCTCAGTCTCCCCACGAAGGTCACAGTCTTTGGATGGCCCTTGTAGAACTAAAGACCATCTCTCAAAGCAGCACTTCAACCAAGAGAAGGCAAATAAAAGATTTATAAATGTGTGCCAAAACTCGATTTGAATTAAGTGGAAAGTTGTTGGGAGAATCTTTGTGCTGACAGAAGCAGTTCGAGCAAATCAGACAAAAGACAACAGACTTCAAAGGCTAAGAAAGATAAGCAAGTCTGTGTGCCTGGCCTATAAACCTTGCTTTATGATCCCTCGTTAGCAAAGAGAAAGTGCCATAAGAAACAATAGGCTGTGAAACTCACCTGGCCTTGACACTGGCTCTCATATTTTCATATGCATTGTACATATTTATTTTTAAAAGCTTGGAATTCTGCTTCAGTAAAGAAATTCATAAACAAGGGACTTGGTAGAGTGGAAGTTTACTAACATGATTGACACTTGAAAAAAATCAGGTCTGAATAGAAAGGATTGTTTCTGAATAGTGGAAGGAATAAATGGCTGACCAATGGGAAATGCTTTAACCTTGTGCGACAGAATGGGCAATGTACATGGCATCCCACAGGATGAGAATGGTTACCTAGAAATATGCTGTCAGAAAACACTGCATTTTTGTCAAGGACTTTGACTTAACGTTTATGAGCCAAGACCTGTCTTTTACACGTTTTATTTTGATATTTAGTGCAACATGTTCTCAAATGTTCAGGTATATGTGAATTATATGGAAGACATTTAATATGGATGTCAGGCACCACACCAGAAGTTTGCACTCGGCAGGTGTGGAGTGGCACTGGAGTACCTGATACTTTAGGTTCTTGAGTGGTGATGTTCCCAGTCAGGAATCTCACAAGGAAAACCATTTGGTAATCAGAAAGCTGTCAACGAATGAAGGTGGTTTCGTCCTACCTGTGAAACTGTAGTCCGACTTCATATTTAACTGGGATGGATATGTTTACTTCATTGTCATAAAGAGATCCGGGTGGCTCTTCGCTGTCACTGGAAAACAGCAATTCACACTAAGCATTGAATTCGCTTATTCACAGATCATTTCTAAACATTTGAAAGAGAAGCTTATATAGGAAAATTAACAAATATGAATTTACATAATTCTTCATTCGTTTTTATTGAGAGGAGAAGGGAAAGTAGAGATAGGTATTGCTAGTGCTCCCAAGTTGATTCTACGGTTGCGGTACAGCTGAAAACCATACTGATTCAGACCAATGTTTATGAAAATTATGTGAGACAATTAGAATTCATGGGCTTAATTATTAAAACATTGAGGTCACTGCACTTTTGTGGCATGAAGACTTAGGCACAAATCACCTTAGTTTGTATTTATCACATACAAGGATCTTGCACAGAGATGCAACCAGGCTCATGCAGCTAATTGTGAATCTAAAACCTTCTATTTTGTCTTTCATAGTCTTTCTAAAGAGTATACATGCTATTTAAATTTGTATGTATTTCCCTGAGTTAGGGTGTAATTTTCATAATTTTTGAAATTTTAATTATACTTCACACACATATACATTAAATACAAATATACCTTATACTCATGAACAAAGCATGGAGAAGAGATACAGTTTCATGACCAGATAAAGGGAATGCGGGTGTTCTGGAACACTTGTACCTTTGCATCATTATTTAATCTCTTTCTGCCTCAGTTTTTCATCTATAAAATGGTTTATCATTAAATTTTCTACAGTAGATGCCAAATAAATAGATGCTGAGCTAAACTGAAGTGAACAGACTGAGTTAATGGACCCATTAATTTGTTTTATTACTTTGAAATTCACTTTCCATCTATGTAATAATGATTATATGCAGGGTCCATGATGGTTACTACAACAAAGATACTTGACCTCACAAAATATGTTCTGGTGTAAAACTACTTCAAGTTCTGTGTTAATCTTATACCACTTTTTTCTTTAAAGAAAAATACAAGTAGTATATTCTCTTTTTTAGCCAGAATGAATTAAACTTAGCAAAAAAAAAACCCATAACTTATTCATTCAAGGTGACACCTATTTTTCTTTTTTATTTATTTTCCCCGTTTTGAAAATAATTTTTTCTCACATAATATATCTTGCTTATGGTTTCTTCTCCCTGTACTCCTCAAGTTATGACCTACCTCTCTTCATGTCTGAACCCACTCCCTTTTTGTCTCTCATTATAAAACAAAGTTTTCTAAGGGAGAATAATAAAATAAAATAACAGGTAAACCAAAAATTAACACATCAGAGTTGGACAAGACAGACAGAAGTAGAAAGAGCCCAAGAGAAGGCACACGAATCAGAGGCCCACTCATTTGCACCCTCAGGAATCTCATAAAAAAACACTAAACCGGAAGCCATAACATATACATTGAGGACATGGTACAGACCCGTACAGGCCCCGTGCCTGCCACCTCACTCTGTGACTGCCTATGAGCTTTGCTCCTGTGGATTTAGAGGGCTTTGCTTTTTTATTTTTTTTGCATATGTTCTATGATAATGTTGAGAAGCCTTAAATGATTTGTGTAAAATTTATTGAAGTATGAAAGCATATCATTAAATTTTAAGTCCATGTAATGACTCAGTTGACCTTGACAGACAGCTAGTAATGTTCTAAAATTAGTAGATCCTGTTGATCATAAATACAATTTGGCAGATATAAGTGTTGTGTAATTACAAGGTAGTCTGCAGTTAATATTACCAGTGAATTAATCCAATAGGCTAAATTATTGGTTTTGAATATGAATTCCTCTACTGTTGCTACTTACTCCCAAGGTATTTTTTTGTGAAGCAAAGCAGTTCATGGACTATTACTTCTGCTGATCTTATGCAAGCTTCAAGAATCTGCCAGTGACACTACAAAGTAAAATAATCAAACTACATGAAAGTAATTTTATGCACACATACATATATATCCACACATACATAAACCAACCTTGTTGCAATTAAATGAATAATTGCATTTTCTGCGAGATATGATGTATTAAACTGGAATATTATTTTGAAGGTTACCTATGAAATTAAAATGAATATCTTGAATAACAGACAATGAAAAAATCAACCTTGACAAAACATAGCTTATATAAATTCACTACCTAATACAGCCTCATCATAAATACATACAATAAGATCCAATATACACATACATTTCTAAATTTGAATATATAATATTCTTTGCATATTGCTATAGTCTGAATGCTTTATTCTATGCAAAGTTTATTGCTCAAACTTAATTATCAATGTTATGATACTGGGAGGTGGGTCATTTTGGCAGGTAACAGGTCACAAGCATCCACATGAGCGGGATTAATGCCTGTGTGAAAGAGTTACCAGAATTCTGCCTTTCCTTCTCACTCCCTGAGAATGCAGGGAGAAGACATCTTTGAATCAATGGGCCTGACATTGCTTTCATCCTGAATTTTTCAGCTTTCATATCTATGAGAAATAGATTTCCCTTTTGTGTGCTACCCTATTCCTGCTAATTTCTTATAGCAGTCTTAATGCTCCAAGACACATGGTAACATTGAATTGAATAGTCACAGTTAAGGCATAATAACATAAAATGGCATGTTAATAATTAAAGTCTCATTCATGAAGAAAGTCTCTTTAATACACATAGTAATCACCATTATAAAACAGGGAAAACATACTTGATTCATTAATTTGATAATGTAAATGCTTTTGGATCACTATAGAGTAATTAAAGAAGATAATACAAAAATGGCTTAGCTCTTAGAATAAAGTATCATGAAAAACACTTTTTTGGTTTGTAAGAGTTTGCATACTTAAAACAATACTGAAGAAAAAACAGAAAGTGTTTTGCTGTGCAAATATCATATTTAGACAGCTTTCTTTTGAGAAGCTCTGCCTGTACACAGGGCCTGTGTATGAACACCAACAGTCACACTAAAATGTAAATTACTTTTGAAAGCAAAGATCACCTGCATATTCTTGCCTAATGATCTCATCATAATGCTTATGCAAACTAATCTTATTTGGTGCTGATTCAAGTATTTAAAATTTGAGCCAGAAAAACATTCCAGAAATACCTAATTAATGGAAACCACCTAAAATTATATCTTTGTGATAAATATTAACAGAAAGGTTGTGACATCTACAGCTTGTGAACAAGTGGTGCCATTCACAGATGGGGTGGTGGTGTGAGATTAGCATGGTTGTATTTTCTTCCCTCCCATATATAATCGTATTTTACATTTTAAAAGAAGAAAACAAGTTCTTTCAACAAAGATGTTTTTTCCCTTGCTCTGGAGTACTGCTCTCCAATCTAGTGAAGGGATAGCTCTTCCCTGTCTCTTCGTAACCTCCACAACTAGCCTGGGCACTTGAGTCTTGGTATTTTTCCATTGCCCCTGTATCTACAGGAAGATGCTGGTAGAGAAGCAGGCCTGAGGAAGATGCTCACTGTATATTTACATAAACCTGAACTACTTAAACTGAAAGTCTGTATCTTGAACCTAAGAATATTCTAAGTGTGAAACCCAAGTTGAAATTGCTTGCAAATTCCTCCCATCACCCGTTGCATAACCTAAGAGGCATTTTAATTAAGCTTGTATCACAAGTACAAGGAACTTCTGGATAGAGAAAGAAATATTTTAAGTTCAATGCCTTCCTTGAATGGTGTAGGGTGACTGGATATTCAGATGCAAAATGTGTAAGCTGGGCTCTTTCATTGCACAAAACCTAGAAGTTCTTTCACATGGATCACAGACCCAAGTGTAAACAAAAAAGTCATAAAATTCTTGAAAAAAAAAAAACCCTCAAAGTTTCTAATCATGTATCTGGCAAGAGACTTGAATGTAGACTATTGGGAAGAGGGAACTGGGATTGATATGTAAAACAAGCTATTTAAAATAATAATAATAAAACCCAATTAAAAAATCTCCTACAATTTAATAGGATAAAAGACAGCCTAATTTAAAAACAGGTTCAGAATGGGACATGGTGGCTTATGCCTGGAATCCTAACACTTAGGAGGCAGAGCCAGGAGGACTGCTCAGAGTTCATGATCTCCTGGGCTACATTATAAGTTTAGGGCTAGCCTGGGCTTCTAAGTGAAACCCTGTCTCAATACGAATTTATTGTAGCAGATATTTCTCCAAAGTTGTGTGTGTGTATGTGTGTGTGTGTGTGTGTGTGTGTGTGTGTGTGTGTCTATGTATGTATGTATGTATGTATCTCAAAACATCATCACTTGCTGCTAGGGAAATGCAAACCCAAGTTACAGTAAAACATTGTTTCACATTCACCAGAATAACAAGAAGAAGAAGGAGAAGGAGGAGAAGAAGAAGAAGAAGAAGAAGAAGAAGAAGAAGAAGAAGAAGAAGAAGAAGAAGAAGAAGAAGAAGAAGAAGAAGAAGAAGAAGAAGAAGAAGGTAAGTAACATGGAAAAATTAGAGCTCTCATTCACCCCTGGCAGGAATGTAAAATGGTGCATCTGCTTATCTACTATAGATTCAGCCTGTGTTTGAATGTGACTTATGATGCTTAACTTTGAGCTTAGTTTTCCTGAGCTTCTAAAAGGAAATAGCTTAGACTGTTAATTTATGCAATTCATAAACACTGGAGGTTTCCTTTTCATAGATCTGGAGTCTGGGATCTCCAAGAGGAAAGCACTAGAAGACCAGAGTGCAATGGCAGCCTGCTCTGGAGACACTGTACGTCATGTGATAGATGGGACAAACAAGTCCCTTGAGCCTCTTTTGTGAGGCCACAGTCCCAAAGGCACCACCTCCTAATGCTGTCACACTGGCAATTACATTTCAGTGTATGGATTTTACAGAGGCACAGAAATCATTTTCTGGGAGATATCAGGCTGCAAGCATTTTGCACTCAATGCTTCTAGCCTATATCATCACAAATTACCCTCTAGAAGGATTTGCACATTTGTCTTCAATGATTACTTATGTTTTACACCGCCTCCTCACCATTTCTCCTGTCTTCAGGAAAGGATACCCAACTCTGCATGTGATATTTTCATTGGATTCACAACTATCTTTTTGGATCCCCTAAAATGGAAAAGAAACAGGATTAGAGAAGAAACACAAGTGAAATATTTAATCATTTTGGAATTTTCCCAGCTATGTATTAGCATCTGCCTTGCCAAGATTTGTCTCTTGGTTTAGCAGGGAAAGTCACAGGGCAGGGGACTGGCTGTTCCATGGAGATCTGAAACCATCACTTGAGAGCTCTGGAGGGACAAAGCAATGTCTGGCCGGAGGAGCCAGGGGTAATGGAGTACCAACAGCACCCATGAACAGGAAACTGCAGTGGTGGGTCTCTAACGCTTACATCTGCACTGTTAGAGCATCACACAGGTGCAGAAGTTTGGAGTCCTGAACAAGAACAAGGCTCTAACCTGCAACTACCAGGACTCATCTCCAGACTCCATCCAGCATGTAATACAACTAAAGAAAGAGTGGCCTTAATACAAAGACAAGGACCTCCTTAAATTTACAGCCATGTACTATGGGTATTCCTGCCTCTCTGCTGTGGCCAGAGCTGTGCACATGGGTATTCCTGTCTATCTGCTATGGCCAAAAAGCCAGCTAGAGAGAATACAGGCAACGTCTTTTAACACAGTTCCCTTTCCAGAGAAAGTCCAGTTACACATTATACTTAGGTGTTGCATTTCTACAATTATTTCATGTGCATAATTAATACTCTGAAATGTTGTAGTAGCAAATGATCCTTATATGAACTTATCTTAGTCACCACATCTTCAAATGATATCAGAACAATTGCAGGAAACGGGGGTAACAATTTAAATTTATGGGAACTAGACAACAATGCTTCAATACTATGCATTAATGTGTGTGTATGCATTATAGTGCTTGTAAGTTAAGCCAGGGACTCATGCATACTAAGCAAGTTCTCCCTTATTTAACTACATTCCTAGCCCAAAAGGTATCGGTTTTAATATATATGAAAAAATTCACATTAGTGTTACTAATTTTAATGTGAATCAAAATACTATAAGTTTATTCATATAAGTATACACAGAAATTTACTTTGGGGATACATTTGGGAATCAGAATCAAAAGCTAAGTTCAAATGTGGAAATACTGACAAATGATCCAGAATTCTATGCAGGGGGTTATTGTCAAATTAATAAGATGTCTGGTACACAGATACGTAATTGCCAAGATGAGCCCTTTAATTATAAATAAATAAGACATGTCATCTAACAGAAATATTTGGTTCAAATTTTCTATAGGAATAAACAGTGTCTTGATTTTCTCAATTGAAACTTTTAACACATGAACTCCTACTTGCATCTTTATTATATATTTACTTGACTGAATCTCAATTTCAATGTCTCAATGACTCCAAGAAACACAGAAATTTTAAATTATCAGCTATATTTCTTAAATGCTTAAAATATTAAGTACAAGAAGAGACATTCCTTTCCAAAGAGATTTTTTTTAAAAGCTTGATAAGGGGTGAAGGCTGAAGAGATGGCCCAGAGGTTAAGAGCACTGGCTGCTCTAGGCTGTTCTTCCAGAAGACTCAAGTTCAATTCCAAGCACCCACAGGGCAACTCACAATGGTCTGTAAATCTAGTTCATGGATCCAATGTCCTCTTTTGTCCACTGGGTGTTAGGCACCAGGCACACATAAGGTGCACAGACATACATGTAGGCAAAATATCCATACACATAAAAATAAAATAACAAAAGGTTTTAAACACTTTAAAAGCTTGCAACTATGAGTATTAGTGTTTTCTAATACTTAACAAAAATGCTTTCTTCTCTTCTCAAATAAATATTATGGAATTAATTAGCTCAGTAGCATGAAAAATGAGTTCAATAAATGATCATTAAAAGAATGAATGAACAAACAGCAAGTTTACCTCAATTCCTGAAAAAATCAAGTTTGGGGAATACTGCACTATTGTCCTGGTGTTGTAGGCACTGTCTCTTTTGTTTTTCACTGTGAGACTGAGATTGAACTTGTCATTCTGGGACCTGACAATCAACAGGCTCTTTTCTGTGGTGGCCACATCCAGAGTGAGGTCTGAGATGCATTTTTCCTTGTTTCCACAGTCTTTGGCAAAGGGAATCTGAAATGGTCACAGGAACACATTTAACATAGTATAGTTAAACATCATGAAAGCCACTTATTAATTTGTATAACAGAAATGGCATGGCACTTAAGTAAGAGAGAGTTCAACAAGAAAATTGACTGCATTGCTGAGGTTGTAAGGTATTTTACATTTACTATTGACTTTATGGGAGAAAGAATAAATGTCAACTTCTAGTCTTAATTTTCCAGTCCTTTAAAGGAGGTAGACTTTATAGGTACTTTACCTATATCTGTTTCCCATTGTACGACAGTTTCCAAACCTCAAGTCAAAAACTCTAAGATCATATAAGCTTCACTTACGTGATTTCCTACTGAAAGGAATGGGATGTTGAGGAAGCCAAGAAGCAGGGACATGGTCCAGCTATGTGTCTGGAAACCTCACTTGATTCTTCTTTTTAAATGTTACCCTCCCCTTAGCCAGTCTATCATCATGAATGCCCTTCCTAGCCTCTTCTCTACGTTTTCCAAGTCCCCTGCCACCTCTTCCATCTCCTCCTCATGTTAAATCAGCCCATTCCAATGGCATTCAGTACCTGCTTGTTTCTCTTCAATCATTCAATATGTTGTGCCAGCTATAGGTTTTAAACAGCACTCAGCTGGTACCCACATAGTTAAATTAAAACAGTCAGCAGCAATGCACTGTCCTTTAAAATGTGTGTAATCTGGTTGTGGCCCCAAACCCGAGAAGATCTCACTGTGGCCCTTGAGTTCAGCTGTGTGCTGTAACAGCTTCACCTCTTTTCTTTGATTTCAGCTACAGTAGCGAGCATCTTAAGCCCCTGCAATGGCTCAGCATCTTCTCACATACAGTCATCCACCCACACTGCAAACAGGGTAGAAAACCACCAAGTCTTACAAGGAGCCACTTAAAAGCCACAACTACCTGGGGGCTTTCTCTGACTCCCCAGGCTAGGTAAGAATTGTTGCAAAATCTGAAATTCTTCACAGCACAGCATTTAATTACTGCTCATAGCCCAACTCCTAGGTGAGACAGCTCCGTGTTTAGTGAATGTAAGGTGATAGATACATCTAGAAGGTTGGAGGCAGAGATTGGAAGGCGGATGAATAAGGAAAACGAATTTTCTGACTCTACAGCTTTTCTCCGTTATGGCTGTTCCTATGATACCCTTTCCCTCTCTGTCCCCCCAGTTACTCTCTGGAAACAGAACAGAGGTGGCACAGAACAGAGTCTTTTCCTGTCTCTCCTGATCTTGGGGCAGCATTGTGCCCACAGGAAGCATGCATGCCACTCTGCTCACTTAGGCTGTAAGTTGTGGCAGTTTGAGTGAGAATGACTTCCATAGGTTCCCATATTTGAATGTGTGGTCCCCAGTTAGTATTAACTGTTTGTGATAGATTAGGAGCTGTGGAAAAGCCAAGCCAAGCCCACCCAGTCTCTCTCTCTCTGTCTCTCTCTCTCTGTCTCTCTCTCTGTCTCTCTGTCTCTGTCTCTCACACACACATACTCACACACTTGAATTAAATTATGTGTTCCTGTGCTTTTAGTGTGTCTGACACACTCACAAATAGACATCGTAAGGTCATCTTACACGTTCGTGGACTGAGTTCGGCAGAGCACCATCAAGCACAGGCCCATTTTCTGGATCAGTAAGATTAAAATCCAAAGTCACTCTCACGGAGTCCTGAAAGTCATGCTTGTCCTACAGGTTGAAACATAACATTTGTCACTGGTGTCATGGTTGCTGGATGCTATGACTCTATCGTGGCATCCTTCTGCCCCTGTAGTTTACTGGAACATTCTTGCTCACCGACTCTGACATCACACGTCAGGAGGCCTTTGCTTCACTGAAGTGGTGTAGCTTTGCTGTTTTGACAAGGGTTATGGCTGGCAAGTGCCCACCCCAGAATAACAGGTAGGTTCCCTAGAGTTCCACAGAGGGACTTGCTGGGTTCCTCCAGTAACCCTCCTGCCTGGATACACCACCCTGAGCTACATGATAAAAACATTGTATCTCTTCAAACAATACCCATGCCAGTAATCAATTCTGGAAAAGTGTCTCTCTCACTTTAAGAAAGCAGACTCTTCCAGCGCATCTGTATTTCACTCATATACATCTAAACCTATGGGAGTTTGTGATACATACTGACAAGAAAGTGATGTGAGCATAATTAGTGGTTTCCATTCTGCAAGAACCAGTATTTTCAGTGTCAAGAACAACGATCTTCATACACGCTGCTGTGAACTGTCTCAGTACCTCTGAGATGGGTAGCTATGACATTTGTTACTGTACCCAGAGCTTCTGAGACTGGATGATTTGCCCACAGTCATTCAGGATATGGGGAGGGTGGGATATAAACCATATCCCACTCAGCTCCAGGGAAAATACTAAAGCAACTAACAATCCAAAGGGATTTTGTAATGTTTGAAACCAGTTCATTACTTTTAGCGTTGGTCCCTGGACAGAGCTCATATGCCGACCTTGTACATATGACAGCAGTCATTGTCAGCAGGCTGGAGCTGGATCTGTCTGATGCTCATCAAATTTTATACAAGTTCTACCTCATCAGTGCTCAGTTACTAATAATAAAAAGGGGGGACAGCCACACACATGTGCCCACTACTCTCGCAACCTGGAAGAAGGCAGCTGTAATACATGATTTACTTGCCAACATGTGGAAGGAGTGCCTAGTGCATTCTGATTCCCGAACGGTGATGTTTCTTTGAATCTTTCTTTCCTGAGTCCCAGAGAAAAAACTCCGTGATATCTGCCTCAGTGAATCGAGGGTGACACGGTACTGTAGATCTACAAACATAAAGCAACATTGGACAGACACGTTTATTTGGGGATGATTCTCACGTGATCCAAATCCAATTAGCATTACAGAAATAGCTCTTGACAAATGAAATGATAAAGGGTCCTACACCGAGAATATCTGTATTGCTGCAGTAGAGAGATAGACACAGTCATGGACATAACGTTGAAAGTCTATTGAATGGCTCTAGGCTTGACCATGCCTTTAACTTTTAAGTTATAATTATGTGTAATGTGTTCATACACACACACACACACACACACACACACACACACACACACACAGACATACCTGTGAACTATGGTTTAATCAACCAAGTCTGAAATTGCTAAATTTTTGTTAAAAATGTTTTATAGTTTAGAAATATTGGCAAAGAGCCTAGGATAGTGATTAATTTCAATAGAGGCAAAATAAAGACCATTTTTACATTTTTGTAGAAACATGCCAACTTAGACTATGTCCAAAACATGAAATTCCACAAAATAAGCCCTCATAGTTTGATTCTAACATATGTCAACATCATTGAAGACTGCCTAAACAGTTCAGGGCATACTACTTATGGGACATACAGACTGACGCTACACACGCAAGGACCACACAGAGAACATGTCTGGCTGAGAACAGGAGCCTCATCTCAGTGAGAAAAGAACCTTGGGCTGGGGGAGGGGGGGTGAAAGTTAGGTCATTTGCAATACCAGTCTTCCCCGGGAGGGGGCAGGCGAAGGGAGAGGATTCTTTTTCGGAAAAAAAAACCTCATTTAGAGACCTTTTAAAATGCTACCTTTGAGAGTGTATATAGTGTAAATATATAGAGAGGCACAGGAAAAATACAGAACTTTGAAGTCATTGTGTTCAAATATGTAATTTCTGCTGCAGAATTTACTAGATTCCATAATTGTTCCTATGAGCAAGAGTGGTTTCAGGGGGCAACAGGACAAATGTTTTGAGTGGTTTATTATACTTGGGAAAGGTCATCATCCTGGAGCCAATACATTTTCTTCTTCTCGAAAGTACTTGCTACAATCATTATGCTTACCAGCTTCATAAACGGAGTCTTCTTTAGACTTTAATTTCACATAAAAACATATTGTAGCATTTATGCATACTGTTTCTTTTCCTTCAACGCGGCAGTTTTTCTTTTGAATATTCACTTTATTGGGTTCAAAATCCATGGTCACTTTAACTACCGCCACATCTCTGGCCCTGCAAACACACAAACAATGGAATTACTCACACATTGTTGCATTTAACTGGGGGGCACGGAAGGACACTTTCCTTTGTGTACTGTATGTGCTTCCAGGACTATTGTTCTTTAATGGTGATTTGATACATAAAAGATTGTATCTCATGTCCTAGGAGATCCTAGTTGTTAGAACCATTGTAGACATTTGGTTCAAAGATGGAAGAGTAAAAATGGAACCCACTGACCAGGTGCAAGCTCAGAATCAAAATGAGATCTCTGAGTTTGTTTCCAATTGGGAAATGGTTCAAAGGCACCTAGGAAATGAGCTGGGCCCTGCTGGCTTTCATCAAAACTATAACACATCTCTGTTCTTGAGGATACAGCCTTGCTTGTGTTTGAGCCACTGTGAGTATATGCTGTTTCACGTAACTCTCGAGTAGCTGTAATCATCAGAAACCCTGTGGTCCCCCGTCCTTACCCATGGCTTTGCTTCTCATGGTTTCAGTTATTCTTGGGTAGTTAGCCTGGGTGCAAAAATATTGAGCAGAAAACTCCAGGAGGAAAACAATCATACTTCATAGCATGATAAAATCTATACTTTCCTCATTGTCCACCTGGGGTGTGAACCATCTACCAGCCAGAGTATCCACTTTATATTTTCACAGTCTGCTATATCAGCAAATGCATATACTATGTTGTATTTATTTGCCTTTCCTTAGATTTTTAACTTTCCTTTCTGATTTTTTTCCTTTGTGTGCATGCCTGTCATGTGGAGAACAGAGGTTAATGTCAAGTTTCTTCTTCTATCAACCTCAGTCTTTCTTGGGTTGAAACAGTCTTTCTCTGAATATGGAGCTCATTGATGCAGCTAGGCTACTCAGCCAGCACACCAGGGGTTTCTTGTTTTCCCACCTCTTCTGCACCGGGGTTCCTAATGTTGTCATGCCTTTTTTATGTGTGAATGAGAACTCCTGGAAAGAAGCTGTGTCTGCAGAGACCAACTGTCTGTTAGAACTGCAGTGGTGTGGGAAAGCCACTGTGCTACAGGTCTGCAGCGCAATCACCTTATCTTGGCCTAGTTTTAGTCCCCTGGATTTGTCACCCAACTCTGTGTCAGAACTCTCATCCTGTAACTAATGTATAAAACCCTTCGGGGATCTATTAGCTTAGCACACCATTAGCTTCAAACCAACACAAAGGCTAAGATGTCATCAGACACCATCTGAGGCCTATAGAAAACATTTCCCCAATTTGCTGTCACTGCCACTCTGATGTATCCATCAAAGCATTTTAAAATTACTCCAATTTATGAATTTCTTTGTTCTGTTACTGTAAAACACCACAAAACACTGGAACATTATGTCAGGGGAAACTTAATTGACTTGAACATATGTTCCCAAGACATGCCATGGTCATTCATATTTCTTAAGAACACATCATGCCGTTCATTCCTTTAAGGGGAGAGCTCTTTCTTTCAATGATAGTGGTAGGAATTCAAACTCTCAGGCTCTTGTGCTTGTGCTATGAGCCATTTCCCCAGCCCATCTTGTTACATTGGGAAATAGTTACTGCAGACAGTGCTCTGCTGGTTCTAAAGATCACACATTTTAAGGAATATTTATTTCCACATTACACCTTTAAATTGTTATAGGAAACAATTTCCTTTAACAAGCAAGGTTATCTTAACATTTTGAAATGCTTATTGACAAACATGGTGAATTTTAGCTAGTTTACTCCTCGTCTGCAATAAATGGTCATGTCTAGTTTCCTTTTGGGTGATATGGATTCTCCAGGCAGGAGAGTGGCTTGACTGGTGTCTTTTCCAACTGTATCTGTATGGAGGTGTGTGTGTCTGGCACACATAACTAGGTTCTTGCTATCTATGCACTGACTGCATCTGCTCAACCATCTGCCTTCTGCATCCTGTTGCAGTCCTGCCTTCAGCACTGCAAAATCTTAGTCCTATGACCACTATCTGAGTCTACTTTGTTCTGCTGTCAATGAAGCCTGGTCATGAAAGGATCTGTATCCATTTCTGTGATTTAGGTAAACTAACAAAATCAGTTATCTCTAAAGACTTGAACACACACATGTACGTGCACCCACCCACACACACACACACACACACACACACACACCTTCTAAAGACACCACTCATACAACTTCTCCCACAAGAGAACATTGGTTTAGTGTCAAGTACATAATTGAGTAATTGGGAACCAAATTAAGAATTCATTCTACCCACTCATATTCAGCTTCTTTGTTCTTAAGATTCATTGATGCATCAATCCATTGAATAACTTGAGATGGAACAACACGAGATGGAATAGATATTTGATATGGCAAGAGTTTTAATCATACTATATGGTCTGGAATCATATGGAAAATACTGACAAATATATAACCACATGTTATAACATACTTACCAGAAGAGGGCAGCTCCACCAAGGCCTCCAATGGTCACATCAGTCAGACCATCACCATTTAAATCCATCTCTCCATGGATAGACTGGCCAAAAAATTTCAGTGTCTTGCCATCCCCACCTGATGGAATACGCTGTGAAAATCCCAACAGACAGGTTGGTGCCGGAAGAGTCCATTTAAAATAGTTTTGAATAAATCTGAGAATTTGGATTAGTGAATAAAGTTAAAAGTAAAGATCTTTTGGGGACTCAGAGGGCCCTGAATGGGAGCAAGAGGAAATACTGAGATATTCCCGAAGGAAATCAGTCTTACTACAGTATATTGTGTCATGTCAGGGTTAGTGACTCAGAGAAACTGGAAGTTGATATATAATGTCATTTTGTCTAATGTTCAAGTAAAATCTGAGCAGCAGCTTCTTCTTTTTCAATTCTAATAAACAGATATATCCAAAGTTACTGGAAACTTTATATGCAAAGGGAAGAACAGATGACTGCATGTAACAATTTAAACATTTGTTCTAAACACCTCCACTCACATCCACCCCCATTCGCGGCACTGTGAATATGCAGCGCTTAAAAGCTCATCTGTGCACTCACACACCTCACCTTACATGCAAAGTGATATTTCTATGTTCTGTAGCTTGGTGTGTGTCCAAGCAGATATTTTAACAGTACCTGTTAGCAAGGAGACAGGACTAACAGACCCTTCCTAAACTTTGGGTAGTCTCTTCCTTCTCAATTCCTTTAAAGTACAAAATGGAAGAAGTCAAATAGAAAAGAGTGATGTGGAAATACTGTATGTCCCCTTCTCAATTGAAAATTCCCATAGTTTTCCAGCAAACAAATTGGGAGAATGTGCCTCATTAGCCCTGTAGGAACTGATACATGCCTGATTCTGGGTCATGCTGCATTTCTGAAGATGGATAAGTACACCCTCATCTGTCTGCTAGGAATACACGTTTCATTAAGAAAACAACTGAACTCTAATTCTGTTTGGTTAATTTTGTTAATACTGCATCTTGATTCAACACTACTTTAAAAAATGCATTACTAATGACAATTTATTCCATTAAACAATTAAAAATCTTTCTTTTCTCCAAATGCCATTCGTTAAAACTGCAGGATTCATACTGAAAGAACAAAGGACCAAAATACAAGAAGCCTCTTTGTGTATATTTCCTGGTTCCCCAATGCCCCATGGTTAATGCCCCAATGCCTGACACAAGTTAAGTATATAATCCCATAGAGATTTTTAACAGAAACAATGCATTTGTCAAATGGACAGGAGTGTTGTTACTTACATAAGTCTTTTATTTTGTTCACTATTAATGTCATTATAACTTTATAAAAAGTTAACAAAATATTACATGAATAGGTTTTGAGAATTTTGTTGGCTACAGAAATAAAAGATACCACTGAAATCTAAATAGAAATGGCTAATGTCTGGATTCCCTTCATGGCTTAGATGCTAGAGAGTGTTGATGTAAGTGTTGAACTAGAAGATATTTATTCATAATAGCCCATTGCTTAACTGACTATGATTATTTAGAAACTGTTCTCTACATTATAACTTCTCTAAAATCTCTTGTGTTTATGATGAATTAAGCATTTATGTGAATAAATATTTTTCTCATGTAATAAGAAATTAAATTTATAGATTAGGTCAGTAAATGTAGAACTGCTTAACTCTCAATAAATTTAAAACAAGAACAGCAGAAATCCCCTACAGATCAAGATTAATCATTCACATTTTTTGAAGAAGGATTGCTTGAGAAAAAATTATAAACCTCAGAAACCTATATTAATTTGATGAAAATATGTAATATTAGTTCATAATTATAAATTTAATATTATTTTCTTTAATACCAATATGGGCACTGAATAAAATAAAACACAATCTCGTCTCCTTTATTGACTAGATCACACTATTGTTTCCCTCACATACTCTTTTTTTTTGTTTGTTTTTTTGGTTTTTCGAGACAGGGTTTTTCTGTATTGTTTTGAAGTCTGTCCTGGAACTCACTCTGTAGACCAGGCTGGCCTTGAACTCGCAGAGATTCACCTGCATCTGCCTCCCAAGTGCTGGGATTAAAGGCGTGTGCCACCAACGCCCGGCTCCCTCACATACTCTTTGGGGTTAAACACACTGTAGATGTCAAGTCACATTATTTCCAGGTGTTCTTGTTTTCTACTGTTTTAGCATTTCAAATGATCAGGTCCAAGAAGGCAGATGAATAATTGCAGAAAATAAACCAGATAACAGAATAAAATGTTAGCTAATTCTTCTAAGAAAGAACACAGGAGAAAAATCATAATTAGTTTCCAGCCAGAATAAAGAAACAAAGTAAGTTCTGAGCTGTGGAGTAAGACAGGTGAGATTTCTGGGCGTGGAAGATTGAGAGCGTGAGGGGAACTAGTGTCTTACTTGTGCATACTCCTTCCTTATGGTCTTGTCACTGCCGTGATAAATGTACACAGCTCCTGCATGGTCGTTCTCCAGAGGAGCTCCGATCACAATGTCATTAAATCCATCCAGGTTGAGGTCTTTTACAGCAGCAATTGCTGTTCCAAATCGGGCCCCACAGGGTTCATTCTTGTTTTCTTTTGTGCATGAATTATCCTTCAAAGATGAACAGCATGTCTGCTTAATTGGTTCCAGGCTCATCTGATATTCAAACCTTGTCTGGAGGGAAGACAAACAGAATGACTAAGTGTTCCCAACACTGCTACAGAGGAGTAGGCTTGTTTTTAAGAGCATGCTAAACCAACCTTATGAAATAACCATTAGCATACCAACAGCAAACCTGCAAGATACATGAAAAAGTAGGAATACCAAAGGAGTCTCAGGAAGCAGGCATGCTGAGAATTCCAACAGGCTCTTCTTCATGAAGCTAAGGATATGTAGTTAGTAGTATGTTTTCTACTTGTTAAAGAGTTGAAAATGAAATCCTCCATTGTGGCCCCAGCCCTGCCTCCACGGGCGCTGTGCTTCTTGGCTAAGACTGTCCATTCTCTACCGAAGACAAGGACAAAATTTACTCTGCTCAATGCTCAAACCTTTAAAAGCTGCCTGGAGTGGAGGGAAACATAGACAATGCTAACAAAGAACACACTTTTTTGAAAAAAGAGGGAGAGAGGGAAAGAGAGACAGAGAGAGAGAATATGCATAGGTTCTTTCCCCCAAACACACAGGAGAAAGCCAAGAAAAAGATAGGAAGAATGGTATGCAATTTGTGATTTAAAATAATTAATATGAGAAAAAATAAGAATTAAAAAACAATAACAACATAACAAGCCACTAATCCCTTTGTAAATAGCAAATATCCATTTAATAAAGAAAACAGAAATTACTTCTCCCAACAAATGATGTATAAAATTGGAGTTGAAATCAGAATATCCTCTCACATGGCAAAGCATTCCAAAACCCACACTGTTTCCCAGGAAGGGCCTAGTATCACTGTTAAGTTGCATCTCTCTATCACTATGGTAACTGTAGATGCCCCCAGCATATCCAGGCTACAGCTCTTAAATAGGTTATGAACAGAATTATTTACCAGGTGTGTAACATTTGCCTTTGCCTTATTTATCATGTGTATTCCAGTTTTTTAAAAATGAATACAACAAAAACTGATAGTAACAATAACGCAAGCAAAAACATATTTTGTATTTTCAAGCAAAACATAATTAAGGTCTGAAAGTAGTTTACTTTGGTTCTACATGTTCCTTTTGAAACTGTGAAATTGAATGGCTCTTACAAACTTCTTAGACCATGTTTCCCCCAAGCAAGTGAAAACTATTCTAACGGCATTAGTGGGAACTGAAGGGAGGGGACTTTGCTGGAGTCATCAAATTCGGATGCCATTACCTGATTCACAGCGTACACGTACACTTTGCCCTGTTCCTCTTTCTCTGTCCCCATGTACATGGGGGCCCCAACGAGAAGCAGGTCAGTATAAGAATCTTTGTCAGTGTCAATTGTTGTCAACACGCTACCAAAGTAGGAACCGATCTAGGACACAAGACAGAACAAGTAGGAATGAAATATCAGAGGCGCTCCAGGAAGTGGAAGTCTGCCACTCCAGCAATTGTCCACTCTATTAATTGACAAGTGGTGTCAAAGGCACCAAAACACAGAAAATTGTGCTAGCCAAATCTTCTGCAGACTGAAGCATGATGTGGTCCTGACTTTGAGGATGGCCTGCAGCTGTCTTTGGATTCCCTAAGACTGGATGAAGATGCTTCCCCGATGTGTTCACAGGTGTGCTGCTGCACACAGGACTGCTCCTTCTCCAAGCTCCAGGCTTTCTCTAGAAATTGCTGGATATGAAAGTCAGGATGCATTTTATAATGTTCTTACAGTGATTCTTTAAGGTTCAACTTCACAGACATTTGAAAAGCTTGTAGTTCTTAAGCTTTTGAACTAATTGTACATTGTAAAAAGACAAAAACAAAAACAAAAAAACAAAACTATACGTCCTTGCACTGTTGGGCATTCATTTTTGGTGTCAGTCATCCTCTGCAGCCTAGAGAGAGTTCATGATCTCCCGACTTCCTCAGTCTCATTCCAGCTGCTCTGATCATTAGAATTTGTGTTGTCACCAGAAACATATCTCAGTGTGATAATGTTCTTTGAATTACCCCAAGTTCAAGAATGAATGACCTTACAAACACAGAGCAACCTTTCTAAAAGGTTCTCAGGCTTATAACAGAAATTATTACCATTTTACTCTTTAAAAATCCTCCATGACATTCTTTCTCCTTTATATTCATAAGATTGTTTTACATTCTTTATATTCCCTTACGTTTGCAGACAACTTCAGTGTAGTAATAGACAAGTTGTCAACATCAATGACAAATAGCGTTGTCCTATTCTTCAGCTTCACTTATCACTTACTTCTGTCTATTTTACCTCTTTCCTTTCAATTTCAGAATGTTAATAAACTGTTTTTGATTGTTTGTGTGTCATCTTTGGGCTGCAGTAATAATCTGTTTTATTGTTGATGAGTTTCTGAATGTAAACATGGCTAAATTGATAAAATCCTTTCACCTGAATGTGAGGGACTACCTTTGATGTACTCTGGATTTCCTTCAGAGTCTGCAGAGATTCTCCCTGTACTGCTGAGCTATGCAGGTGGGGGTGAAAGTACTGGTTAGGATGTTACATCTAGGAAGGCTGGAATTGGCGGAAAACTCTTTACATAATACGTGGCTTCTCACACTGTGGTGGCCTTTGTGGAGCCCCTGAGGGCTATGGCTATGCTATCATAAAGGACACTGGCCCTCTGGGACTTAGGTCTTAAGCACTAGCAGTGGCCACTCTTAGATCTACTCAGTATGACTCCTGATACCTGACTGTAGGTTATAATGACTACAGCTAGGGCTCCCACATAGGAGGAAGGTCCATTTCAGCCCTGTCTACCAAAGCAGAATGAAGCAAATGAATTCTCACTTTGAAATGCTTGGCAAACCCATAAAACCATGAGGAAAAAAAAAGAGAAACGTTATCAAATTACTATTCAAAACTAACCACTGAATAGCACAGTTGGACATATTTTTCAAATAAAAGACTGAAGGTATTGGCATCTGCCTCCTGTATGTATAGTTTTCTAAGCAACTTTTAATATTTAAGGACATTTTAAAGAATTTTCCTACTATACATGTTACATACAATTTCCCATCGCCTAAATCATAATCCAATGTGTTGGATTGGCCACTTAAAATTTGACACATTTTAAGTCTTTCAACTCTTTCTTCTTATCTATAGCCCATCTTTCCTTTTAGAGTCAGCACAAAGTTTATCTCTTATGAGTTTCCTGTACTAATCATAGCTTAAGGCCACCTTTCTATCTTGTGAATACATCAATGCAGCTGCCATTTTATGCTTCTTGATGTTTCATATCTTAGTGTTTATTGTATATATTGAATAAAACTGCATGCAACCTCTGTTATCTGCACATCTCTACCTCTTCTCATTCTAACTGATGTGCTTATGACATTAAAGTTATGGCTATTTTACACCCCTCCGAAGAATCAATACAGACCACACAGAACAATTTATTTCAAGTTTACCTGCTCTCCACTAAGTGTCTGGAGAATTTTGATGTTCCCATCCTCCATCTTGTATATGACGACCTGGCCTGTATGATTGTACCGAGGTTGTCCAGCGATGTAGAGCACATCTCCAGGGACAGTGGCAGAGTTCACTGTGTAACCTAACCAAAGAGAGATCCCATAAAGTCTTATGTAATACATTATGAATTACTTTAGATGGTTAGGCTAATCACTTTTATATTTTCTTGCATTTAATGTTGGTGAGAAGCCTTTAGCATGCTCCCTGTTTCTACCATACCTGAATTTCTCTAAAACGATACTTTCTCTCAAACCAGATTTTCCATGGTTTTCAGATGCAAATGGTAAAACCGTGATGACAAAAGGGGGGGAGAAGGCACTTGTGCATCATCATCATGCACACTCACACCCACCTCAAAGCCCTACAGTCACCATTTTGGAGAAAATTAACTATATTTTATATGGATCAGTGGTTCTCAACCTGTGGGTCATGATCCCTTGGGGGGGGGGTGTCAAACAACTCTTTCACAGAGTTGTCTAAGCACCAGAAAACACAAATATTTACATTATGAACCATAATAGTTACAAAATTATAGTTATGAAGTGGCAGTGAAAATAATTTTATCGTTGGGGATCACCACAACATGAGGAACTGCAGTAAAGGGATACAGCATTAGGAAGGTTAAGGATCAGAGGGTTAGACGCAAGTGTCTGTACTATCAACACTAATAGTTTTGATTTTAGGGATAATAGAAAGCATAATCTCTTACTGCATTGCTAGCCAAGTTTTTAAACTGAAATTTTATATGGTTAAATATTGGTCATCTAAATTGTATCATTTGCTGATGGAATAATGGAATTTAGGGTTTGTTGTGGTTGTTGTTGTTGCTGCTGCTGCTTTGCCTTATGGTTTTTTTGTCTCTGTTTTTGGTTTTGTTTTAGCAAATTTTATACTATGCTTGAGATAACCAAAGTAAGCTTTAGGACTTATTTTTCTTCTTTTGAATATTTTGATAATACATTTCAAATAATAGATTACAGGATCAGTTTTCCCCATTCCTACATTGTTAGGTGAGTCACTTCCAGAACATCCACACTAGGGTTATGCTCCGAACTGCTATCTGAGAGCCATTTCGTTTCATTAACGCTTCCCTGACATTGCCCTTGAGTACCATGATTTAAAGTTGTGGATGTTATAATGGGTGTTAAACTATCTAACAACAGTTCTTTGCTGTTATTTTTAACTCTTTTTAAAATAAAACTGAGTTTTTTCACACATCTATTAATTCCATTTTTTCATGCTCTATAAAATTTTGTTTTCTTTGTACCTGCTCTACTTTCATTTACATGCATTATTTTATGTTGATTTATCTTGTGAACTGTGAAATGGTTTTCCTTTTTCTTCTATGCCACCTCCACTTGTTCTGTTTCAGTCAGAGTCATCTTGTTATGACAGAGGGAGCTCATGCATGCGTCAATCTGATTATGGGCTTTGTGCTTTCATGCATTCTGGCATGACCAAGCAACCATCACACGTTCCTCTGTTCATTTAGTTAGCAACCAAGGAATACACGGGCACTTTGACATTTTTATACATGTATAGCAAAATTCCCATAACCTTATTGGGCATTCACCCTCTTTTCAAGGCCTTGTGCACACCTGTAAGTCTATCGCTGCAGAGATAGAAGGACTTACAGTACAATGATAAAGTCATTGTATGTGGTGGCTTTTTGTGTATCCTAACCTTGATGGCCTGAGAAGTTTCTCAGATGTTAGTATTAAAATAAACATGATGTTTTGAGTATCTTTATACACATGATTTTGAGAGGAGTTCTGGCTCAAATGCATAGTGAAGAGTTCATTCCTGGGGAGTTAGGGAAAGAGCTTGAATTGTCACTTTAAGTCAGATCATTATTATTTGGAGGAAAAAAAGTTTTGCATTTTTTATCTTGTAGAGAGTGGAGCTAAATCAATATGCAACTCGCACTACACATAGGCTTTAAGGGAGCAATGCTGTGCTGGTTGGGAGCGGCTTGTTACCGGGGTAGAAGACAAGCATAGCTCAGAGCAGTTCTAAATGTGAAAGAGATCATATCTTTAATCAGCAAGCATTTTACTATGAGGTAATAATTCTACTTTTGTACAAATAATATGTTTATATGAGTGCTAACAGAACAAAATCTCTCAGGCATATTTTCCTTTGCGATTTTTTTTTCATTTGTTTTCATATCTTTATTTTCCTTTACGAAGGGTGAGTCTTCTTGGAAGAAACAAGAGAGCTTTGGTGATGGGATAGGAAATATAGGACTTATCTTCATTTTGTGCCTTTAAAACCTCACTTCTTGCTCCTTTAGAGTTTGTCAGGCATGATTAGGATACAGTATGGATGTACTAGGAAAAAAGTATGGATGAGGGGTACAGGTTCACCCACATTCTCACCATAAAACCTAAACTCAATGTGGCTAAGCACATGTTTAGGCAGGTTATGGGTGATAAGAAGATGGGTGGGTGACTCTGTCCTGAGAGCCATATATATGCTTCTGCTCACTCTGCCTCATTTTAATTGACGAGCACATACATTTCCATAGAGGGTTGGCCTCTCACTTTACCCTCTTTGTAAGATTTCACACGACCTCACTAGTTGCCTTTCATCCAGAATTCAGAGTAGTGAACTCAGTTCCTTTGTAATTTTACAATACCACAATGAAATATTTGAAACCCTTATTTCAGATTTGAAAAAAATGGGTTAGGAAAGCACATGAAAGACACCTTACACCTATTAGATACCTGTTGGTATGTGTATTGTATCCTAACTTTTGACTAAAGTAATGAAATGAACAGAAAATACATTAGTATACTATAGACAGGACATGTAAATTTTATTCTTTTGTAAGCATAGAGGATCCATAAATATGCACATCTATTTACATATATTTACGTACATACCTTGTCAACTAGTAGGGCTTTGCACCTTTCTGGAGTCTGTGGAGAAAAAACTTCTTTGTCCTTTGTGACCTAAAGATCACATATGTTCCCACCTCTTCCTTCTTCATTGCCAGCAACACTGTATCTCTCTGATCATTTCTTACAATTCTATCTCCCTTTAAATACATCTCAGAAAGACGTTTTTTCTGATTTCATTGTTTGACTATATTAGACTTTGACAATATACACTGGCTGGGTTTGTGTGTCAACCAGACACAGCTAGACTCATCAAAGAGGAAGGAACTTCAATTGAGGAAATGTATCCATGAGATCCAGCTGAAAGGCATTGTCTCAATTAGAGATCAATGGGAAAGGGCCCAGTCAGTGATAGGTGATGTTATCTTTAGTCTGGTGGTCCTGGGTTCTATAAGAAAGCAGGCTGAGCAAGCCATGGGGAGCAAGCCAGTAAGCAGCACCCCTCCATGGCCTCTGCATCAGCTCCTGCTTCCAGGTTTGTGCCCTGCCTTAGTTCCTGTCCTGACTTCCTTTAATGATGCACAGAAATGTAGAAGTGTAAGCCAAATTAACCCTTGCCTCCCCAATTTTCTTTTTGGCCATGGTGTTTCATAGCAGCAATAGAAAGTCTAAGATACAATATATCCAAAGAAAATGTATATCAGGATCCTTCATGTAGTCACAACTGGAAAGTCCTTTCTGCCTCATTAAGTAACGCATTAATAGGTCCAGTGACTGGGGCCTGACATTGGATTTGTTTTTTTTTTTCGTTGTTGTTGTTTTGTTTTGGCTAGGGTCATTTTATTTGTTTGTTTGGGTTTTTTTATTTTGTTTTTGTTTTTCAAAGCAGGATTTCTCTGTGTAACCATAGCCTTCCTGGAACTCACTCTGTATACCAGGCTGGCCATGAACTCAAAGAGATACACCTGCCTCTGCTTCCTGAATGCTGGGATAAAAAGGTGTGCACCACCAACATCCAGATTGACTAGAGTCTTGAAGTGAATTTCTGACTCTTTAAACACAGGATCAACTGCCTTTCAGAGGATTTATAATAATTTCCATTTCCAAATCCATCCATTAAATATGATGATAAATGGTCTATAATTGTTCCATCTAGGACCAAAAGAAGCTTTGGGTTAAACTGGCTTTTGATTCCAAGGTTTTTCACATATAACCACCTCACAAATTTAGATTATGAAGAACTTCAAATGCTCCCTGAGCTAAGCCCCAACCACCCTCTGTCAGTTCTCTATGTCTTAGTCCATAGTACAATGTGAGCGGTTGCTAGTGTCCTGGTTGTCTCTCATCCAAAACAATGCCTCATCCACTTTGCCATTTTTAATTTGTTTCATACGTTTGACGCAATGTAGGCACTTTGTATTTGTGGGTGCTTTTCCAATTAGCCCAGAGTCATGTATTTTGATACAGGGAAATGAATACTAGTTCAGGTGACCAGACTGACATGTCAGAGCTGCTATAGGTACCTGGAGCACAACCATTCTGTCTCTCATGATTAATTTAGAGAGCAGATTAAACATGTCTCTTACTACTAAAGCGCAGTAAGAAGCGTGAGCTCAGCCCAGGCAGCTTAGAACCACACAATCTCAACTGTTTCAAAGACAATACACTTCCTGTTCTGGCTTCCAATGTCTTCCAGATTCGGGAAAGGTAAGCTTGTGTCAGGGGGTCATTTCCACATCTACCTTCTCTAAGCCACCTTTGACTCTAAATCATCTTTGTTATTTGGGCTTTGAGTTGTTTGATTCTATTTGTTTTCTGGGTAGAAGGAGAATGTAATGACCTCCATGAGGAAGAAGAGGGGACCTTCATTGATGGAACCTGCTGCGTCTTAGGCTTTGCACTGCCTCTGCTGCTTACTGTTACGTGCTTAGTCAAGAGAGACCCCAAACTTTCAAGTCCTGCCGTATCCGCAGCTCACATGTGCTCTGAGTAAGAAGAGATGTGGAGGCAGCCTAAGGCTTGGTACTTTTCACATAGAGTAAAAAGAAATTAGGATTTAGAAAGAAAAAAGATTTGCCTCCAAGATAGAAAGCTCCTTGAAAGAACACTTTGAGCCGGGCGTTGGTGGCACACTCCTTTAATCCCAGCACTTGGGAGGCAGAGGCAGGTGTATCTCTGTGAGTTCGAGGCCAGCCTGGTCTATGAGAGCTAGTTCCAGGACAGCCTCCAAAGCCACAGAGAAACCCTGTCTCGAAAAACCAAAAAAAAAAAAAAAAGAACACTTTGATGGCAAAATGGGGGTACTTCAAGATGAGGATGTTTGCTTTATCACTGTACCCCAACACTGAGAATAATGACAGGACAAGGGAAGACCTAAGAACAAGGGTGTTAAGTAAAGATAGGGAAACAGCATCAGAGGATCCTTTCTGTTTTTGTTTAGGCTTCCCACATGTTTCCTGTGCCCTCACAGTGAACCTGGTTGGTCCTGAGCCTGGTATAGATACTGAATGAGCTGATGGCACACACACATCCCATCTTCTGATTCCCATCTTCTTATTCTTATCCTTAGACCACAACATACTGCTGAGCTTAAGTTCAGCATTTTACTGAATGTGAATAGAAAAAGCTATAGATAGAGAATATAATAGAATCAAAGAAGAGCTATATGATGAAGCAATTCAAAAATTTCTTTCACAATGAGAACTTGCAGAAAGAAATTAAAGATAGGGCTGGAGAGATGACTTAGAGGTTTAGAGCACTGGCTGCTCTTCCAGAGATCTTGAGTTCAATTCCCAGCAACTATGTGGTGGCTCACAACCATCTGTAATGAGATCTAGTATCCTCTTCTGGCCTGCAGCATACAGGGAGGCAGAACACTGTACACATAATAAAAAATAAATTTTAACAAAAGACATATCAATTTAAAAAAAATTAAGGATAAATATTATGTAGGGCATGTAAAGGTTTTTTTAACCTCATTTTCTGTCTACTAGGTCCAAAGGTCTTCTGGTTTAAAGGAAATGTTGAACATAGGGAAAATTCTTAGACAACACACATCAGCTAACATTATTCCTTGCACTGGACACACTTCAGTAGGTACTGAACAATGACCTCCAACTTCTATGCCTTTGACTCATTAAGGCTTCTAGAAGTCTGAAACCTTTCCCAGGTCTTTCAAAACACCTTAATCTTTAAGGCAATCTTATTACATGGTTTACATTATGGACACAGGAGAAAACAATGTTAAGGAGAAAAATAATGTGAACATTTCTTTTGAAGCAGCTTCTTGCAGTTGTGTTCAAGTCTTACCTAAATAAGAAGCAAGAGGCTCGTTCATTTTGGTGGGCTCAGTTTGAAACGTGGTGTTTTGAGGGACGACAGTCCGATTAGCCTTCTGCATGACTACAGTTCCATTCCAGTCATAGGCTCCCACTGCTCCAAGCATGATCCAGTCCTAATGTACAGAAAGCAATAAAACGGTATTGGAAAACACATAGCATTAATGATATGATAGGAATTCTTGAATTGCTTTATTTAAATTAATTCATATAGTTCTCAAAATAACTTTCTTTACAAGAAACCAATACTACCATCCCTATTTTAAGCCAGGCGGTGCTGATCCACACCTTTTATCCCAGTACCCCAGAGGCAGAGACAGGTGGATCCTTAAACTCAAGGCCATTGTGCTCTACAGAGAGAGTACCAGGACATCCAGGATTGTGCAGAGAAACCCTGTCTCCAAAAACCCAAAAGCAAGCAAGCAAACCAACAAAGTTCCTATTTTAATTCAAAAGGAAGCTGAGGCACATTATGTAACTTCCACATTGAAATGTTGATATCTCTGAATAATAACTATGATGTCTTTTCTTCTTCTGTTATTCTGGGCACACACACACAGAGACACATGTAGACACACACACACACACACACACACACACACACGAGCATGCACAAACACAAAATCCCACATCTTAGTCTTCTAAGGAATGTAGTATTGCCATCGAATACCTTAGCATGGAGAAAAGGATTCCACATTTTAAACAAATGTCTCAAGTATTTCATTTCATTAGAAGAACAATTACATTCAGCAGAGTGAGACTGTGTGGTTCACAACTATTAGTTGGTAAAACGTAGGAGCTGTGTGAAGTAGTCTCCTAATTAGAAACTTGCAGGTGCCATTTCCCTCATTTGGATTAGACACCACAATCACAGGCTGCAGAACTGCCCTCACCATAAACATGAAAGCAATCTCATACAACCAATACTTGGGCTTTGCCTGGGGGAAGACAATTTTGCTTGAAAGATATTTCTTTCCTGGATACAACATACCTGTGAATAATGAGCACTGAAGCCGGTCTGAGACATTTCCATCTCAAATGAAGCTGCTGACTGATCCGCTGTAGCTATAATGTGGGAAAGATAACACAGTAAGTGACTAGCAATGTCTTTTAGGCTGCGATTCATCTGCTGGACAGAGAACTGCTGGAATCTGGGGGCCAGCTAAGCAGAACTACGGAACATATCAGGGCACTATCAGCCATGTACTTCTCAACCAAAACTCCTAGGCAGTGCTCAGTATAAGACAATGGTAAGTGAAAGGACTCCTCTCTCACTCTTACACAGTGGCTTCCCATCCTTGATGAGGGAGTTGATCTTCTTGATTGCCGGGATTTTATTTGGCCTTAAAAATAAGATGCCCATTCATACAACAAGGATGTCTGTTCCATTATGTTCATAGCAGCATTATTTGTAATAGCCAGAACTTGGAAGCAATCTAGATGCCCCTCAACCCAAGAGTGGATAGAAAAAATGTGGTATGTTTACACAATGGAGTACTATTCAGCAGAAAACAACAATGGAATCCTGAGATTTGCAGGCAAATGTATGACACTAGAAGAACCCATCCTGAGTGAGGTAACATAGTCACAAAACAGAGAAACATGGCATGTACTCTCATATATGGATTTTAGACATAGATCTGGGGAGTGACAGCCTACAATCCCATGGCCAGAGAGTCTGGGAAACAGAACCTTCATTCAGTGGCTGATAGAAGCAGAGGCAGACGCCCACGGCTAAGCACTGAGCTGAACTCAAGAAAGCCAGTAAGAGAGAGGGAGGACTGATGACCAAAGGGGTTAAGACTGGGCTGGTTTAACCCCCAGAAACAGCTGACCTGACAAGGGTTAGCTCTTGAATCCCAGACTGATGCCTGGGAATCCAGCATGGGACTGATCAAGACCCCCTCAATGTGGGCATCAGTGAGGAGGCCTAGGTAATCTATTGAGCCTTGGGTAGTAGATCAGTATTTATCCCGGGTATACAAATGGACTTTGGGCTCCCATCCAACAATGAGAGATGCACTCTCACCGTGAACTCTTGGGGGAGGGTCTAGGCCCTGCCCTGGATGAAATGACAGACTATGGACACCCATGGAGGGCCTCACCCTCCCTGTGTAAATGAGGGTATATTGCAGGGGTTGGTGGGAGGGCACGGGAGACAGGAGAGGGAAATGGAGAGGGACCTGGAATTGACATGTGAAGCAACCTTGTTTCTAATTTAAATTTAAATTAAAAATAAAATATTAAAAAATAAGTTAACAATAACATAATTTTCAGTCATCAGTCTGACTGTCCATTCTACACTGTAGCTGGCTGTAACTGCTTGGTACTTCGCAAAGCTGAATTACTATAACAGGAGTCAACTGTCTTGTCTACTCGATCTGGGAACCCTATCAGAGCTAAATTTGATACGCTACAGGGCTGAAAAAAACCTTCACTCATGTATTTAAAGAGATTCCTGACTCACCAGGCCTGCCTACACGCCAGGCCATACATCCTCTCTAGAAGCCACTGTTTCATGGAATTCAAGGATCCTAGCACATTTTGGTCCCGATGCTGGATTTGGGGATCCTTCAGCCCAGGAGGTGACTGTTGCCACAGAGCTCCAAAAAGTGTCCCATCTAAGTCTGTATTTTTAAAGGAACTTTATATTTTTAAAACACTAATTTTAAAGCTCACTGCTAAAGTCCAGATAAGTTAGAGCACTGTATGGAGTTGGAATCCTCTCAAAATATTTACAGACCAGAAGCCACAGTTTCCTGGGGGAACTCAGAGGATGTTGATCTACTTGCTTCCAGGGAGTTACTGGTTTACTTGGTCTTAAAAATAAGTTAAAAATAGCATATAATTTTGGCCAAGTCAGCCTGTCTGTCAATTGATTCATGAGAATCATTAAATTTGTGAAATTAAACATGTTTACTATTTATTTACTGGCATAAAACCATAAAAGTGCATCTGCAATTGAATTTTTATAGGGCTAGAGTAAATACGGCAAGAATCATTTTCATCCCTTATACAAATTGTCCTTTAAATAACTAAGATACATTTTACCTTAAATTAAAATGTGTTTTTGTCCCCTCATCAAGCTGTCTTGGGGTTAGTGAGAAACCTAGTGCCAGGGAAACCCCTGGGAACCCACAAGGGTGACCCCAGCTAAGACTCCTAGCAATAATGGAGAGGGTACCTGAACTGGCCATTTATTGCAATCAGATTGGTGACTACACTAATTGTCAACAAAGAGCCTTTATCCAGTAACTGATGGAAGCTGATGCAGAGATCCATAGCAAAGCTCTGGGAGTCTTCCCACAGAAAGGGAGGAGGGATTATAGAAGCCATGGGCGTCAAGGTCATGACAGGAGTGGGGAGACCCACAGAGACAGCTGACCTGAGCACAGGGGAGCAGGGGGAGCACATGGACTCTGGACCAACAGGTAGGGAGCCTGCATGGGACCAACCTAGCCTTTGTTTGTAAGGCTCCTAGCAGTAAGATCAGGACCTGTCTCTAGTGGCTTAGCTAGCTTTTGGGAACCCATTCTCCTCACTGGATTACCTCACTCAGCCTTGATGCATGGGGAGGAACTCAGTCCTACCTCAACTTGATGTCCCATGCTTTGTTCAAGCCCATGAGAGGCTTGCTCCTTTCTGAATAGAGACAGAGGAGGAGTGGTAGGGAGGTAGATGGGAGTGAGGGGGGGGCAGAGGAGAGGAGGGAGGGGAAACTGTGGTTGGTATATAAAATAAATGAAAAATGTTAATTAAATAAAACTGTGTTTTTGATACCTAATGGTTTAAGCTAGTTCCATGCTTATTTTTGCAGGACTGACAGCAAGGACACAGCACTAGTCACCAGCATCCCCACCCTCTGCTGATGCTGTTGTCAGCTAAGAACAGAGAAAGGAGCTGCATGGCCTTCTGCATGATGCATGAGCAGCATGATAACAGCCTGGCCATACGCCAAATTTCTCACGTTCAACCTGTCCTTGATAGGCTCTTAGGGAATAAACCAACCACCAACCACTCAGACCTTTGGGCTGTTTCTGGTTAGGAACGTGAGCACCCCCCCCCAAAAGCTGATAGGAAAGGGAGATTCATACCCTTTCCTGATCTACTCGGTCTACTCCTAAGCATGCTTGACTCACTAGGTGGCATTGTCCTTGGCAAACCAGACTTTCATAATTGTAGCTATTTACCATCTAAAATAAATATTGACAGGAAATGGAGTTGTCCCAAATGGCAGAGGATAAAGCCTTTTGTGATCTCATTATGAAAACAGTGAGAGCTAATATACTGAAAGCAGGGCTGTGTGATACCACTACCACGGAGGCTGAAACAAGAGGATCAAGGGCAGCAACACTTTGCCTTAAAACAAAGACAAAAGCAGAAAACAGAACCAGGAATAAAAGAGGCAGCCCACATAACTTTATCCTTGTTGGAGCAGCAATAAGATGTAGAAAGGTGTTTTAATCTTTGCAGAATTTTATTCAGTGATTTCATACTTAAGTATAGAGACATCAGGAAGCACTTGGACATTTTCATGAGGAACTTTAACTGTGATTTGGTTAGATTACAAAGATTCTTAAAATGCCATTTCAGGCAAAATGAACCACATCCCTTACAGTGTGGGTCACATTTGGTCAGTTCTAGGTTATATTTGTTTGCTGAGTTAGAGAATATTTAGAAACAGCACTTACTAAGTTTAACTGCCTAGTGTAATAGCAATTTAAAAAGCCAATTCATACAAGTAATATTATACAGATCAAACAGGTTATATTTAGAAAACTACATGTGTACACATACACATATATGTGTGCAATAACATTAATGAAAAGGGAGACCATGGATTTGAAGGAGAGTGGGAAGGGTTATATGCAGGGTTCCTTGAAGGAGGACAGGAAGGGGAGGAATATTGTAGTTATAGTCTCAAAACTTAAAAAATAAATAAATAAATAAACAAGAAAAAAAACAACTCTACAGATTCTTTCTTGACCTATGTTATTAAAAGTCAAAAGTGCACAATATTTTAGAAGACCACCCATATTAATATGGCCTGAACTATTGCTAACTAACATCCCAGTGGCTATTGAAAGAACCAAAGCCATGTAATAGTGATTGGACTCAGAACACAAGACAGCAGAGCCATTCAGAAATGGCTATGACTTGAGATGAATAAGGATTCAAGTGTTCTTTCTCAGGAGACATGGGAGAAAAAAGGATGCAGAGACATTCATTTTTCCTGGAATGACAGTGCTCATCATGTTCAGAGTAAGTCAAGCTCCTGAGTGCTGACTGGAAGTCAGACTGAGAGTAATAGGTGAGTAAAACCATTTCATTATCTTTGGAAGAGGATATCATAGGAGTGGGAAGAGGCCAGAATGTCACAGTGCACGCACAGAATAACACCTTCGTGAGTTGCACTGAGATTGGCTTTATTTTTATATGCATGAGTATGTGTGTGTACTGGGTTGCAAAGTGGAATGTTTGTTACCAGGGGCTACCCAAGAAATATCGAAAACCATTGATTAACATCATTTTCTTGAACTAGAGGTATAGTGAAATTGTAGAGTGGTTATCTGGCATAAGTAAGTCCCAGGGTTCAGTCATTACACACACACACACACACACACACACACACACACACACACATGCATTTTTCTCATTTACTCGCTCACAATTGTCTACTCCTTTTAAAGTCATGACTCACCCTCATATTCCCTTTATTTTTAATTAACAGGTTCTTCCATGGATGGCAAGATAGAGCTTTTAATAACTACACAAGTGACACTTTCATAGTGTCCTCATGAAGGCAGTCAATGGCACTGTGATGCCCCAGAAGGACAAAGAATTCTCTGTGGGTTTCTGTGGAGCCAGAGTTCTGAGTCTGAGTTTCCAGACTTTCAAAAATTCAAAGAGGACTTTACCAGTCAGAGGCCATTAATTCTGAAGTTGTTTGTTACTGGATGCCTCCCACCTAAGGGACTAGCACTGCTCAGTAGCCTCAGCAGACAATTCCCACTGAAAAAGTCAAAGCAAAATCTTCAAAGAGGAGTCATGATTAGACAACCACAGTAAATGAAGTTTTGCAAGCAAAGGACTTCAGGCAAAAGCTTGTGAATATCTTTAAAAATGTGTATAAAGAAAACTACAGAGGGAATGAATAAAGAAACAATTGCATCAGAACACTCTCCTGGCAGCCCTAAGGAAACAAAGACACGGTGGGAAAACAAAAGTTGAGCTAATGGCTCTGCAGTCCAAACCTGTCACAGAAAAGGAATAAAGCATGCCTGAGCATTTGTGTTCTGGCATATGTCTATGCTTACCACTGTGGCCACCAGCTCTCCTGGGCATCATCACAGCCTAACAAAGACTGCTTCTAGCAGACACAGTTCTCTATAAAGTAGCTCAATGACAGACTCATGCAACAGAGACTTGTTCACTGATGGCTACTGCACACAGTGAAGATGAGTTAGTAATGTGCTGAGAATAATACCCCAAGTCCATTACATTATGTTTGAATTTGAGAAAGGACAGGCACCATTAGGAGAGCTAGTCATACCTTCCAAGGCAAATATCCTTTCTCCCAGAGCTTTAACAATAGTGACCAGGGCCAACTCATCTGAGACATTGAAGAAATGCTTTTCAGTGGGCTTGCTTGCGATTGATTTTATTTCCTCGACAAATTTTTCACTGCTTAAGTTCCCTCTGTTATAGTGACCGAGGATCTAGAGCACAACAAAAATGACAAGAACATATTTTAACGTCTATATGCTAAATAAGTATCTCAAGCATATATTCAGTAAACAAGAGCATTCAGGATATCTTATTATGAGATAATGTTATGTACTTATAGGAATATTTATGGAAGAGAAACTTTCTGAATACATGGTTTTCCTAATGTATTTTTCATTGTGTGTGTGTTGGGGGGTGCATCTGAGTGCAGGTTCCCTTGGAGGCCAGAGGGATGACATTTTCCTGGAGCTGGGGTTACTGCCTGATGTGGGTATTGAGAAGCAGATTTGGATCCCTCTAGAATACATGAAATGGACCAGGGAGCATTTTCCCATCCCTATATACTGATTCTTAAAACCATGGTTGAGGTAGGAAAACAAAAATCTTTCTTCCTCTGCACTCCTGTGTCTCTGTGCAATAACTGTAGCTTTGAAATCTGATCATTCAAAAGAAATGCTACACTTTCCCTACGGTGTTATACGATTGCAGCTATTGACAAGGCCATCTTCTGGCAGAGCAACCAGCAAGGGAGCTATGGAAATGTTTTATATGTCTGTGCACCTATATATATTATACATGTGTGCATGATCAGGTGTTCATACATGTATTTTTTTCTTAGAGACTTGTGAAAGTTTTGCCTATCCTCTTTCATGAAGTCCTTAATGTTTGTTTCATTTTTTTCATGAGAAGTTTTAAATGTTTATGAAGTCAGACTAATTCCCATTTCTTCTTTAGGGTATGTACAATTTTGGCTGTTTGGATTTAGTATGAAAATATCAATGTTTGTGATAATGTGTAAATTTTAAACTAAAAATCCCCAACACAAAGATATGACCTAATTTTATATTTTAAAATTGTATAGTTATGTGAGTAATAGGAAAAAGATTCAAATAATATATTTTTATTTCTGTTTATAAGATTGTATATTTGATTTGCCCATATCTGTTTAAAGACTTTTTTCTTTTATAATAAGAATTCTTCTCTTGTAATATAACATGTTTAATTTTTATTTTATTACAAGTGACACTTGAAGATTACTAGTTCTTATTTTTAAATATTCGTGTCTTTTTATTATACAATCCCAAATAGAGAGCAACTTAAATGCCTGTAAAAACTAACGCATAAATGATGGTATATTCACACAATGGGTAACATAATAAATATGAGGATCACCAATACACAAAATAACATGGGTAATCTTACATGAAAAATAAAACACAAAAGAATCCACAATATGTGGTCACTTACATGAGATCCAGAATCAGTAACTCAAATAAGTTATAGAAGTGGTTACAAGAGGAGGTTTGTATTAGAAGAAACAAAAGCACAGAGAACTTTCTGGAGGTGACAGAGTATGTATATTTGTTATGAGCATTTTATAGTTACTCTTCATATTGTTATGGTTTCACTGTATGTAAATGTTAGCCCAACTTTAAAAAGAACTGAGCAACATGGACATACAATAAACACATATGTTTTATAAGTTCTAATTACTATATACAACATGGAAGTCTTTAAATTACATAAAATTATAAAAAACCCAGTAAACCACTATTAAGTTTAATTATTCAGATATATTTATATTGTTATCAAAAGACTATTTAAAGAAAAGATCAAGAGATTATGAATATGGAATTTGGGTGATAGTTATCCAGGTATATACATGTGGTTTTTAAAATGAGGTTTAGGATGGTAGGTTACAACATGATATTTTTATCAAGATATATAGATATACTTACAAAAAATGAAAGAACTCAAGGTATTATTTACACAATTCTTCTTATGATTCATGGCAGACTTATTTGTCTCACATGAAGAATAGTGGTTGAAAGCAACAACTGAATCACTCTGTTGCACACTGCTAATGTGAGAACATGAGTCCTGTCTGCTCCACTCAGCAGGCTCAAGGAGGCTTTGTGTGATGTGCTTGTCCCTTTCCCTGGGGAACACCAGTGACCAGCACAGACGAAATGTCACATTTTCACACTGCAGGGCATCAAGTCAATTCCCTCCTCTTTACTCTTAAGACCCCAGCAATCCAGTCCATCCTGGCTCTTTCATTTGCTAAATGTTCTTTCAATGAATGGCACATGAATATCTGGGAAAGGCCATTCTTTGGGGAAGCATGTGTCTAAGGAAACCTGGAGCTGGTAACATGGTGACCTTTACACCACTTAGGTTCTGTTTAGTTTTGGTTTTTGAACTTACTCTCCCTATTGTGATACCCAGACTTTTGGAAGAATGCTCTACGTAGGGGCTTCACAAATTATTACAGAAAACAAACCTAAACTCCTTGCTACTTTCATGAAAAGCCAGGACCAAACACTGTAAGTGGTTAGTTTCTAACATAGACCACTAGGACTGTCTTGCACATTAGCTGTGTGATGGAGAAGAGTTAGTGGTGAAGGCAGAAGAGAGATATTAGATAGGGAAGCAAAACTGAAAGGTGTGCTCTCACAACATTGGACAAATCCCAATATGATTCAAGAAAGAGCTATAAAGATTCCTTTCTTACAGTTGGATGTCTTATTGAATCTGGTTGTTAAGAGACAGTCTACAAATTCTAAAGGAGCCATATCCATGTGTTTCCTGCTGTACATTGTGAAGCTCCTTTTTTTATTTTTTGTCAGTTTGGTAACCTACCTTTTTCTTTTAGATTCATTCAAATTCTGAATTATGTGGGCTCCTCTGGGTTCCCCACTGATTTATTTAACGGATTTTGTAGATAGATCTTGTTGTAACCTGGGTTTTCTTTTCCAGCCTGGTCTAACCACTCTTTATCCCCAAATAAGCACACAGATGATATATTAATTATAAAACTGTTGGCAGGTGGCTAGGGATTCTTATTGGCTAGCTCTGTCTTAATTATTAACCCATAACTACTAAACTACTAACCTATGTATTTCTGCATGGTCCCATCTTACCAGAGAACACCTGGCACATCCTATCCTCCTGGTATCTACACGGTGTCCCTCTCTGCCTACCTTTCCCAGAATTCTCCTCATTTCCTAGTCCCACCTATCTTTCTGCCTCTATTGGCCAAACAATGTTTTATGTATCAACCAATAAAAGAAACATATATACAGAAGAACATCCCCCATCATCTTGTGACAACCTGGGAAGATCAATCATCATTGCTCCTGTTATAGATTAACTATTGGATCAACATATTAACTTATGTTTCACTTAAAATTGATGAAATTCAAAATATGTGTAAAACAAATTTAATATCTGAGTTTTAGGGTGTGTGTGGTTGAAGTTGTTAATTGTAAAGTGAATGTTTTCAGACATTGAGTGGTAAATGTGATTGAAGGAAGATAAATAGATTTAACTAAGTAGGAAAAGTACCCACATGACATAATTAAAGAGTAATAATACAGGAGTGGGTAAGTGCAATGTTGGAGAATATACTCAGTCTGTGACTCCTATATAAACTCGAACCATCTCATATCTCAGATGAAAACAATGACAGGAACCTATTGGGATCTTTCACCCAAGGATTTGGAAGCTTTTAAAAATGTTTGCTATGAGAACAAACAAAAAGTTAAATAACATACCTGAGTTTTGTTTTTGTTTTTTGTGGTTTTTTTTTTTTTGTTTTTTGTTTTTTGTTTTTTGGTTTTACGAGACAGGGTTTCTCTGTATTGTTTTGGAGGTTGTCAGTCCAGCCTGGCCTCGAACTCACAGAGATCCGCCTGCCTCTGCCTCCCAAGTGCTGGGATGAAAGGCATGCGCCACCACCGCCTGGCGAGTTTTAAAAATACATCTAAATTTGTTGAACCTAAGCATTTGAATTCTGCCAATATTTACCTGAAAAACGCAGTCAGAACTGAAACCTCCTTGAGGCAGCTATGTCAAAGTAAAGTATGTTATGCATTTATGTGCAGCATCATGTCTTTTATTTGAAAATATAAATGAAATGCTATGAGTCTTACTGATGTCTCATTTACATGTGAGTGCAATAAGAAATTCACACCTCTCAGCCATTACGACCTAAGAGTAGCATCTGAATATCTAGTAAGGCCCGATGGACCAGTCTAACATTCTCCATTAACAGAAATAGAGAACTAAAAGCCAATTCATGGTCTCTCAAAATATGAAATTCTAACAGGAAATGTTTGAAATTTTAAACAGGGAATTTACAGTACCAATATTTAATTCTCTTGGGGAGCTGTTTCCTGTCAAAGCACATTTTTGTGTTGCTCAGGATCAAATAGTGGGGACTAGATGGGGTAGAAGGAATAGTGCAGACAGTAACTGAAATAGAACAATCCAGGTAATAATTGAGAGAGAGTTTATATTTGTGTGAATGTGTGCAGCATGAACAGATCCTGGGAGATTCCTGAAGTCTTCCTGTGTTATTGCACAAATGAGAAAAGGTAACACAAGTGTCTTGCTTTCCAGTTTGCTGTCAAATAACAGCTTTTAAAATAAACATGGTATAGTAGGGACAAGAGATACCAAGTAGGAAAAGTAGCAACTATTGTTCAGTGACATTTTCTTATTTTTTATTTTTTGAGAGCAGTTTGATGATAATAATATACTGATTAAAATGGAAAGCACATGCATATATGGTTCTTCATGAACATGAATGGGAATTTGTAATCTCCTTTTGACTAGATGAGAGACAATGCATGATAAGCAAAAGACTCCAAATAGGTGAAGCAGTTTAAGACAAGGAGAAACTGATGATGTCATCAGACATGATATGAAACAGGATTCACTTAGAAAGTTGTGCACTGTCTTTGTCTTTCCAGTGAGGCTTCCCTAGTGCTGGTTTTGTGTGGTGTGTGTTCTGAGTATTAAGTGCTCCCTCAAGGGAGGCCAGCAATCTACGGCTGAACTACATCCTTACCACCAATGCTGCTAATTCTGATGATGCTTAACAATGTCTGTGGCCTGCATCCACTTTTGGGATGCCAAGTAGTCCTTAGGGGGAAGCAGAAAATGAGATCATCCCTGATACTTAGACGTCTGGAACTTGTGAACAAGCTCTGGCTTTACACACTGAAGAAAGAGACCAGGCATAGATTTAACGTCACTCATCGTTTAGACATTTTTCTGAGTGAAGGTAAGAACGTATGAAACTATTTTAACCATGAATTCAAAATAGTTACATTTTCATAGTAATAAAGCTTTATAATAACTGACAAATGAAATTTATAAAAATAGCAATAGGGAGAATGAGAGGTTAGATATTTGATGGATTTTTTTATATCTTATACCCCAAATAAAATAAGAAAATCACTTTATAATTAAATCATCTTGTTTATAAAATGAGTGTATTGGCCCCGTGAAGCTAGGAATCATGTCCTGGATCTTTCTTTTTTCTGTGTATAAACTCCACCTCCCACTTCTTACATCCTTCATGCTTTTGAAAGAAAGATAAGTCCATTGATTGGATATTGAAAACAAACGCAGCTAATATTTGATTATTGTTTGGGAAGAGTACAGGCTGAGTTCTTCGAGTTTTTGAATCTTTCCTCCTGGCTTAAACAAATCAATTACTTAAATCAATTTTAGTGAATGAAAGAACAATTGATTTCAGATGAAAGAGAAGCCTACCCCTGGACTGAAGGTACATGGCGGCCTAAGAAGAAAGAACAATTGATTTCAGATGAGAGAGGCCTACCCCTGGACTGAAGGCACAAGCAGGGCTAAGAAATGGAAACTAAAAGGAAGGATCTGATGCAGTCCCTGGGGGAACCTAGTGGTTCTGAGCAAGGAGGCAATCTGTTATCTCTTAAACACTAGGTTCCTATTAGCTCATGGTTGTGAATTCTTTGAAAGGATCAGAGAGAAAGACAACTTTTATTGTGTGCCTCACTGGCTACTGTTGTCACCAATCCTTCATGTGGAGAGAGACTAAAACAATCCTTGGCCTGATCAAGACTCTGAAGCTCAGAGTATTAAGAACGTGTTCACTTGTCCCAGAGACGATATGCAGCAAGAAAGTCTGCACAAAGGTGTTTCGGCCCCTGAAACACAGTGTCCTCTGTCCCTTCCTACACCCAGACTTCCCTTCTATTTCTTACACCTGAGAAACATGACAACCTGGGTAGCATCAGCAGACAGACAAGCAGGGCTACAGAAATATCGTGACTGGCTTGTTAGTGGATGATTATAAAAGACATCTTCTGGTTCTGGCTTCTCGAATTTCAGGAAGAATTATTAACTAAGAAGCAATCTTTTATTGTCTGCTATATGTCACAACAGACACTGAAAGTTTGCAAACCCTTTGTTAGCAATGTACTTACAGCTATGGAAAATCGCTGGATGTTTTCATCCTCGCAGTCTTGGATGACCTGTTTCAGTCGATAGTTATCATGTGATTCTCCATCAGTCACTATGACCATGACTTTTTTAACGCCCCTCCTGGCACCCCGGGCTTCAGTGAATGCCTCTTTCCTGAAGGGAACACAGACCAAAGGGAGGCTGATCAAACTCAGGCCAAAGGTCTACAAAGTGAAAAGCCCTACAAAAATATAGCAACTCTGTGTAGCCTGTTGCTTCCCTCCAAGATGACCATGGACTCCACTGTGGGGGCAAGAGGCCCCATGATCTGATCTGCACTAGCTCCATAGGCATTGCACATGATAGGGACTCACTATATTACTGCTTGCCACATGTGCTCAAACGAAGCACAGGTGCGTTTCCTCCTTTGAAAGCTTTCAAGGAATGTTGTGACTGATGACACTGTGGAAAAGAATACTCATGTCTTCTGTAAAGCTTGGCCTGTGGAGACCACAGAAAGGAATTTTTCCTTTACTCACTTACCTTCAGTAAGAATCAATATAATATAGTCCCCCAACTTACATGATTTCAAGTAATGTCCCTATCAAATGATCCCCTACTCTGTCCCACATTAAATCCCTACTTGTCCTTGTGTTGAAAGCTGAGCCAATGTCACTCAATTGCAACAACCCATTGCAATGGTTCCCATCTTTAAGAGTTGTGTGAATAACTTTTCTTTAGTGTGACCCTGGAACATAGATTTTCTGTTTTCTTTAAGTGCTTAAACAAAGGTGAAGACAGATGTCAAAACCTAAGTTTTAAAAGAAGTTTGGACATGAATATTGTATGAGATTTAGTCCATTTTGCAATTCTAATTCCTTAGTGGATCACCCAGAGCTTCTAATTCTCTGAAAGAGCAAGTTCATAGCTGAACTTAATGAATATCAGCTGAAGGAGAAATTTTGGTTGCTCTGAAACAGCCGAGTTTATATAACAGAAGAGCATCCAGCCACAGAACTGTGGAGTCTTACTCTTCTCATCTCAAGTACATCCCTTAAGGAGTAACCATGTCTAAAACACCAGCATCTAATGTCTTTTCTTAGAATGAAGCAGCAGCATCCTCCCTGTTGGCCTTTAACATTTTAAATATCTCAGGAAAGACACTTATTTTGGGAGAGGAGAATTCAGGATTTATGAGTAATTAAATAATTTATTCCAAGTTACAGGCATGAAAAAGAAGGGAACATCCAAAACTATTATGAACTGAAGTGAATGAATTAACTGAAAATGAAGATAACAGATTCCAAAACATTCAAAATATTTTCTTGTACCAGGTTCCCCTTAAAAGGAGTAAAACACAATCAAAACTGTGCTTACACATGAAGAATTAATGCATGAGAAAAAAAATAGTGTTACAGTATCATTACGGACTCTTTGTGTAACCCCGAACTTAATAAATTCTGTCTACAGATAGACCATGAGAGAAGTATGGGCAAAGCCCATATAAGGCCATGGTATTTCAAGTAGCATTTATACAGTAGTAAAAGCAGCTACAATGATTCTTCCATTAGTTACAAAGATAAATATTCATTCTTAAGCTTCTTCCTTCGGAGAAGGCACAGCTCTTTACAAGCTCAGAGCTTTGAGAGCAAGCTCTGACTTTCTTTGAATGGGTGTTCACATTCAGTCAGCTATTGAGGGCACTTTTCAGAATGCCTGCACATGTGCACTCCTTTGTGCATGCAAACATTCAATGCTATAAGCAGGTAAATGCACAATTACCACAGCTGTTGGTGGGGGTTTGTGTGTGCGTGCGTGTGAGTGTGTTCATATAAAATTTGAACCATGTATTTTCATAGAAGTTTAGGACATCAACTGTCACAGGCAGGTAGAGTGTGGTCATAGAAAATTACCTTTGCAAAATCAGCTAAAAGTTCAGAGGTTAAGACTACTTAACAGAAGTATTCTTTTTTAAATTTTACATATTTTTATTTAGAAACAATCATTTTACATATGAATCCCCCATTCCCTCTCCCTCCCATCCTCCCACGCCCTCTATTCTTAATATGAATCAAAGAACTTACAGAGTCTGCTAGGTTTCATAATAATGACAGAAGGAAGAGCTGGAGGTAAGAACTGAATGAGATTGGAGGAAATACAAGAAATAATGTGTTCTGCATTTGTAAGCTTCTCCTAAAACAAAATTTAACCATAGAGTGATGAAATGGAAGGCAGAGAAACTTTAGTAAAAGAAGGACGTATGCAAGGCACTGCAGATGATCAGACATTTCATCTTTTAAAAAATGTTGTGATGAAGTTACTTTTGATAAGGCAACATTTAATTTTGGCTTCTTAAAAATTCTTCTATGAGGACTGGGGAAAGGTCTGGCCTTTTAAACATGATGACCAAGTTCAGTCTTCAGAGCCCATGTTAGAAAGCTAGGCTGTGGAGTGGCATGGACTTGTAAACCCAACACTAAAGAGTAGAGTCAAGATCCCACGGCTCCCTAGTCAGTCAACCTACTGGTGAGTTGTATACCAGGAAAAAGACCATCTCATAAAAGTTCAATAGCCTGTTAAGTATGACATCTGAGATTGACCTCTAACCTCAACCTCCAGCACACACACACACACACACACACAGAGAGAGAGAGAGAGACAGACAGACAGACAGACAGACAGACAGACAGACAGACATGCACCTGTGTAACAAATAGATTCTTATGGTCTATTTTCAAAATGAGGTACAGTTGCATTGTTATTGAGGTGTGTTCATCAGAGTTTCAGGAGCTGCTAGGCCTGTCTCTCCCCTATTGGTGTCTGCTCACAACTCTGAGTGTCAGAAGTTAAATTACAGGTCATCTGATACATGACTGACCTCAGTATCAGAAAAGTGGGGTGGAGGTAGCCTTGAACCCTAAATTGTTTATTATACAAAGCTTTGTGTATTGCCTTGTATAGTAGATGTCGAGTTTGAGAGGGGTTCAGTTCCAGTCCACGGGAAAAGAGAAGAGGAATTTGGTGGGGGTTGTAGAAGTTTTTAAAAATGAATAACTTGTTCCAAATCAGCATGCTGGCCATGTTTGCCTTGCCTGTGTGCCAGCATTCCTTTCTGCAAAATATCACATTAAAGACTGCTTCATTTTCACTAGTCTCTTGAATTTGTAATTACCTGATTTCCAACACTAGTACACATGCACACACATGCTCATACACTACTTATATAAAGTTTAAAAATCCTATATCAAGTACTAGAGATACAAGAACATGGTAGAATGTATGTTGAGTAGACATAGACTATATTTTAATACATTCATTAGTATGCCTAGAAGTTAAAAATAAAAATCAAATGGATACAAGAATGTTGGCAGGCTTTGCTGGCTGGTCAGAGGTTGCAGTCTATCATGTCTTGGCAGCTTTTTCTAAAGCTCGATGACATGGGACTCTGTCCCCACCAGCGAAACTTCCTGCTCTCTACCTGCCCATATCTGGAGAATGTCCCTGGGCTTGGAGGACTGACCTTATCTGAAAGCTGTCTCTAAACCAGATGCCCGATTTATCTCTTGAGTGACCCTTGGCAGACATTCCTGCTAGAAGCTTCCCCTGCTGCACATATGGTAACTAAGACTTGCTATAGGACCCTGCTACCACACACAAAGCCTTATGATAGGAGCATGCCACCTAATGCAAATTAGGGGTTGTCCCCAAGCTCCCCAAATCCTATATATTTCCTATACTGTGTAATAAAGCTGAGCTGTCTCTGCCATGTTCACATGCCAAGGATCTCTGTCAGCGCTTCTGCACCTTTGCCCTCATAGACTGATGGCCAACTGGCCACAAAGACAAAGAGGAATCCCCACACAAGAATTGATGCTAAGCATCAGCTCCCAACAACATAATGCAAGCAACTATTGCTAAACTTTTAATTGATTCACTGTCAGTTAGATCCTTGAAATGGAAGAAAAAGATAAGCAGGGTTGAGAGATCATATTACCATGTAATAGCAAATCTTTTCAATGTAATATGAAAAAACTGTAGCATTGAATATTGTCAAGTTAAACACTGAGTCAAATTCTAAAGGCAAACATAGCTGGCAGATGTACTGCATGGTCTTTTGCACTTTTTTATTTTTACTTTTTTCTTTTACTTTTGAGATTATAATGTCATCACTTCTCTTTCCCTTTCCTCACTCCAAATCCTCCCATATACCCTTCTTTGCTCACTTTCAAATTCATGACGTCTGTTTTCATTAATTGTTACATGTACATACATGCACATTATCATACATATATATGACATATATGTATTCCTAAATATAACCTGCTCAATGTGTATAGTCTTACTTGCATGTATGTTTTCAAGGCTGACCAATGGACACATTTACAAGACAACTCCTTTACCTCAGGCTCAGGGAACATTGCAGACGAGGGGACAGGAGGACAAGCCAAAGGATCAGGAACTTTTGCTGTGAGATTTTGTCTCCCAGAAAATCTCAGAAGCTACATCCATGAAGTCTCACCCACAAGATTTTTAATGCATACCTGGCTGTGTCTATTCCAAGGGCTGTCATTGTCTGTAGACCACCTCTCCGGCCTATTTTCTTTGCTGCAACAAGTACCTCTTCTGTAGATGAATACTTATTGAGGTTGAACTCATGGGTTACATTTTCTCCATACTGTACAATTCCAACCTGAAATACAAAGCCACTGTTGAGTCACATATCTAGCAAAATTCCCTGCTCATTTCTCTTGAGTTTAAGCATATAGAGCCAGCAGAATACCTTTTAGCTTTTTGGGTGAGCGTCAGAATTCATCACTACATGAAGCCGTTTACCATGCTAGCAATAATCATGGCCACTTTGTGAATATGAACAGTCCAAAGAAAAAACAATAAAGCTGCAATTACTTTCTATCTAATCAAAAAATTTTTACAGAATGATTCCAGTAGACTCCTAGAGCATACTTGGCTATATTTTAACATTCTTTTGTTTTATTCTCTTATATGACTGATTCATATTATACTAACAAATTGCCACATTTAAGAAATGAGGAAACAGAGTCCTAAAAACTGACTTCCTATCTGGGAATATAACTCAGTGGTAAGGGACATTTTTCATATGCATGAGGCCCTGGGTTCAATCCTCAGTAGAAAAGGAAAAACAAACAAAAGACCAGAATCACGCTCTACAGTGAAGAGGTAGAAAGGAGTCTAGTGTCAGAAATGTCAAAACTTTGCCCTCCTAGCATCTCCCGTCTTTAGTTAACTGCTAGTTTCTAGTAATCAAAAGGAGACACTGAGTTATACTAGAATAAATAGACAGATTAACTGATAATATTTGAAAAAGAAATAGAGTAAATTCATTTTCCCTTACAGTTGTTTAGTCTGTCATGTGTTAAATAAAGAAACTGGAGAATCTATGTAATCATCATATGAGGCATACAATATAAGCTGAATGAACTCTGCCTATTTTATCTCTAGGGTATCCTTATTCCTGCACAAATGCATTTTCCACCCAATTTCTTTACTTATACACCCCAAGACTATGGGTTATTCAATTGGAATTTTATTGCCTATGGCAATAAAGGGTAGGATGTGGCCAACTAGTTACACACAATAAAATAAAAATGAATGAGGACTAACTCATGACTCCAATTTGTGTTATTTCCTTGAATTACATTTAAATGGTCTATTTTCCCTTTTTTAGATTTCAAAGTATTGTTTCCAAAGAAAATACAGATTTAGGTTATCAATCCTGAGGGATATTGACCTCAGAAAGAGAAACCTGCTGGGCGATGGTGGTGCACGCCTTTAATCCCAGCATTTGGGAGGCAGAGGCAGGTGGATCTCTGTGAGTTCAAGGCCGGGCTGGACCAACAGCCTCCAAAACAATACAGAGAAACCCTGTGTTGTAAAACCAAAAAAAAAAAAAAAAAAAGAAAGAGAAACCCATAAGTATTTTGATTTTTTCCATTATAAACATGCACTATAAATTTAAATGAAATGCTTTTGTTACTAATATATTCATTATACCTAATTCTAAGTACCAAGCTTCAAAAACACTTCAATAGAAGTCAATTGTTCATGAATTTAAGACATCTCAATGAACTTGTTTCATTTTTATTTGCATATTTTAGTTAATTAAACAGGAGTCAAAAAAAATGTGAAAATTTCTCTCCCCCTCCTGTCATTATATTAACAGTACTGAACATCCTCTTGTCTCATGCCTTTGACCTCCCGAGCTTTGAGAATCTTCCCTCTGGCTCGTGAATGTTGATTCATTTCAAGGGCTTCCTGTCTTTGCTTCTGTCATCTACAAGAGCAATATTCTCAATTCTGAGTGTTCGCTTCCCTAACCACTCTCATCAGCTCATTTGTCTATTCCATCTAAGCTATCAATCATTTGACCATATCAGGACCTCATGACTGCCAATATCTTTAGCAACCTAAAATTTAAGACTAGATTCCATGGTACAATTACTATAATTACCTACTTGCAAAAATCTAGCTCATTTAACTTCTTTTCCCTTTTACCAAGTCACCTGGCTAACTTCCAACTTGAGCTAAATCCAGCTCACTCTGTGTGTGATTCTGCCCTGCTGAATGCTGACAAAAGTCACTCTTTGTATATTGGTCTCCTGATAAAGTTATATCTATGAAACTCAAATGGGGCCTCCAATTTGAGCCTCATCCAATAGTCATAAAACTTACTACTGACAGATGTACAGTTTCCATTTGTTGATTTCAGTCAGATTTCTGTTAAAAGCTGTTAACATTCACAGTAGAATGTATTTATGTCACGTGTGCTTAAAAGGAACTCACATGAAAGGGCAGAAGTCATACCAACCATCCAAGGCTGCTGGATGCCAGGTAAACATTAGTGCTTTATTGTCGCACCCCACCTTACATGCCTCACAGCATCTGCTCCGAGTGTTGCATTGTCTAAACAAGGTATCTTCACCTTAAAAACTCAAAATCTTGGTGTAGTGATTTCAATGAAAATGTCTCCCATAAGCTGAGATGTTTGAATACTTAGTTCCCAGTTGGAGGCACTGTTTGGGGGAGATGTAGGAGTTGTGGCCTTGCTGGAGGAAATGTCACAGGGGTGGGCTTTGCGAGTTGAAAAACTCACACCATTTCTAGTTCATTCTCTGTGCTTCACACCTGTGGTCCAGCGTCTGCACCATTTGCCACACCCGCTGCTTGCTCTCATGCTTGGGCTTATTCCCCTGGAATCTTAGGCCAAATAAACACTTCCTTCTGTAAGATGCCTTGGTTATGGTGTTTCATCACAACAATGGAAAAGTAATACACTTGGTGAGTCAGAGAAAAGTGCTTTATATTTTATTGTCATCTATCCATTTATCTGTTATCTTTCCAACTACCATCTATCTGTCAACTGTCCAACTATCATTTATGTATCTATCATATATATATATATATATTTATATATATATAAAATCTGTCATCTATCTAATCTGTCTACCATCTATTTGTAGATCAATCAATCTATCTATCCATATATCATCTGTCTATGTAACACTGGGATATTAACTGAAACAATGCAGTCGTTACATTAATTCCCCCATTCAAAATCTCTGATTGTTCTCCATTGCTGACATCATTGACTCTGAAAAATAGTTTTATATAGTATTTTTACTCTCACTTTAAAAAGAGAAGAGATAAAATGTCATCCACTGAAATGACAGGTTTCAAAAAAAAAAAACGTTGAAACCAGGCAATGGTGACACATGCCTTTTTCCCAGCACTCAGGTAGCAGAGGCAAGCAGATTTCTTGGGTTCAAGCATAACCTGGTCTACAGAGTAAGTTATGGGACAGCTAAAGTTGCTCAGAGAAACACTGTCTTGAAAAATCAAAAAGAGCAAGCAAGGAAGGAAGGAAGGAAGAAAGAAGAAAAAATTAAAATCGGAGTGAACACCACATATACACATCTCTCTGCCCCCAGATTTGTCACTCTGTTCATTCTCTAAGATTCAACTCTACCTTCCTTGCAAAACATTTCTCACTTAGCTGTCAACATAGCTTATCATACCACCATTGACCTTCCCATTCTGAGAACTCAGGGTTGAGCTTGTCTGCACTGCACTCTTCTCAAATGTGCTGGGTATGTATCTTATCTTTACAAGTGCATTGAAGTTCCCAGGGTCTAGGAAGGTAAAGAGCATGGACTATGTCACAGCTTCTCATGTTCCTTTATCCCTTCCTGACACTTTGTTTTGCTCACAGTTGATACTCAAACATTCCTAATAGATGACTGTAACAGTACAGAGAAGCAAGTGGAAAACTGAGATTTAAAGAAATAGTGACAGCCAGCCAAAGAGTGATAAACAGAGTGTGGGAAATGAGAAAGGAAGGTAGGAGAAACTCAGATATTGGGGGAGGTGACCTTCAGTGTTGATTGATGGCCAAGGTTAGATGAATATTTCCTTAGAAAGTAGACAGACTAAAGCCTACTTTGGATCTTCACTGGAAAGGGGACCGTTCATTAATTTTTATCATAAGAGTCCAATAAGAATACATACGCATAATATTATGTTGAGTGCTGGTAAGAACCTATTCAATATAGATGATTTCAGACCAACATTAGCTTCTAATTTAGGACAGATGAAACAAATTCATGCAACCATGATATATATGACTGTGCTCATGATGCAAGTAAATGTGAAAATTGAAGATAGAAAATGAGCCAAGAAATGAAGACAGCTCCTGGAGGTCAAGTGGAGAAAGAAGCATTCATAGTCACCACTTTACAGTGAAAAACTCCATGGCTCAAGGCCATACATAGGTAAAGAATATAAAACATAATAGAAAATGCCACGGATAAGAATAAGTATGTCTTGATTCTTGAGCACAAGTCAGGGAATATAAGCCATTTGGGCAACTGAAGGAAGGAAAAACACTGATGATATTTAACCCAAAGTTGTCAAACTGTATTAGAATGTACAGACACACAAGAGAATTTATGTAGGGAATTTTGATACATAACTCACATGGAAATGCTCTAGATACTTTTGTTAAGTTGTGGGGAGTAAGCAAGAATGATAGCTGAAAGAAACAAGTGAGTTCAATTTGGACATTCTTTAATAGAAAAGGGCAAGAGAATACTGTATCAGGGAGAGCAGATGAATGTAGGAACAGTGGACTCTGGTTCTGCAGAGGGCTGATAAAAGTCATAGGGACAGTCTTACTCATGTCATGGTTTGAAACTAGGGACATGGGTTTGACCCTCTTGATTAACAGAACAAAAGACATAGGGATAAAACCACAGTGAAAGACCAAACCTTGAGAGCAGTGCAGACATGTAATCTCAACACTCAAGGGGTGGAGAAAACAAGGATCAAGAGTTCAAGGTCACTCTCAGTTAAGCAATGAGATCAAAGCCAGACTGGCTTATATTAACCAACCCCCATCTCTCAAAGCTACAAAACAAAATGACAACAACAACAACAAAAACCCACACACAACAACAAGAGAAAAGCCTAAAAACAAACAAGTAAAATAACATAATCTAAAATCAGGGACCTAAGAGCCTGTTAAGTCTACTGCATTAAACAGACCCACCATTGGTCCTGGATGTTTCTTCCATGTTACATTTGCTGTAATTTTCCAATACAAGATATACAACCCCTTCTCAGATAGAACCTTCAAAATTAATATCCTTTTACATTTTC